CGCAGACCTTGGTTGCTCAAGCCGAAGGTGCGGGAGGACAAGGACTTGAAGTAAATCAACAGCTGAAGGGGCCGGACTTAACCGCAGATCCAATCGGAGGTGTTACCGAAGGGAGAGCCTCGATAACCGGGGATAGGGGTGTATCAGAGGTAGGCGGAGTTGAAGTCAGAGGTGCAAGACATCGCAGGAGATGGTAGCAAGGGAGTTGGGTATGTTGCATCCATCAGGGGGTGTGGTCCGGAGGGTAACTCCAGGAACCGAGGGTAAGGAGAGTGGGGTAGGTCGATGTGTGATGACCTAAGAGGGGTCCAAGTGCATCTCAGATGCCTCAGGGTGAAGAGGTGTGGAAGCGGAAGGTGAGGTCGGAGGTTCCGGGTAGGTGCAATCATCAGTTGGCAGATGTAGACATGGATCAGATCGCTGATGGAAGTGATGGACTGCAGGGGAACCTAGGATGGGTGGATGGAGGGTGCTTCCAGGGACCTAAAGGGGGAAGGAGGACGCTGCAAGCGCCACCTAGAAAGAAAGGAGTAGTGGTGCCTAGTCAACCCACTTCCAGGACTTCGGAAGGGGCGCCCAAAAGTGGCTGGGAGGTGCTGGTGGCTTACCCGAAGCCAGAGCAGAGGGTGCGGTCGACTGCGGAAGGTGGAATTGCAGTCAGACGCCAGGTGCTAGAAGTCGGAGCTGGACAACAGCAGCGTGGAGTCCGAAATACTGTTAGAACTAGCGGATTCAGATGACTCCGGAATGGAATCGGAGACTTAGCATGGAAGGACCTCAGCCTCAGCGACTCATGCGGAGCGCTGTGCCATTGCTGGTTGTCCTAGGGGTCCCTAATTTCGGATCTAGCAGAGGGAAAGTCTCTTGGGGGGAATTCATGTCGATTTCGGACTGAGGTTACAAGTTACTATGTACATTGTATATAAGGAGGGGTCCGGAATCAAAAGGAGCAAGGGTAGGATGAAAGGAGACAAAGGGAGATGGAAAGAGGAACTACACCGAGGGTCAAGGGTTTGACTCAATGGTGTTTCTCAAAGGAGGAATGAAGGGCCAAGGCCCAAGGAGGAAGGAAGGAGGTTGGGAGTGGGGAATGGCTAGCTGACTGAATAGAAAGGAAGCAGCAGCCCAAATAGGAATGAGGGAGAATAGCGGAATTGAATAGGACAATGTGTCAGGGACTCGTCCGGGGTCGAGGGGGTCCGGGTATAACGTCCGGGACCGAGAGCCTGGCGGGGGGCGGATCGGGCGTGCGTACTGACAGGCCCGATGTGGGACAGCGGTCCCTGGCCACTTAGACTGAAGTGGAAAGTTGTTATTATTATTAAAGGAGAAATATTGTACTACTTACCTGAAGTGGAAAGTTGAGAAGAAGGCTACTTCTTCGGTTCCCACTTCAGGTTCGTTTATATACATGTGGCTTGGATCACATGACGGGTGCCACGTCACCCTCGCACACAGCCGTAACCACCCGGGTGTCTCCGTGGGAGATCCCGAGGGTATCCGGTGCAGGCGCGCGTGCTGGGCACAGCGGGAAGTCGCCCGAGGTGCCCGGGCCGGGTACATGGTGGGCGCGCTGCAGATGGGTCAGTTGTACATTGATACAGAGAAAGTCGTCCGTGTAGAATAAAGAGAGAATAAAGGAGAAGTAAGATAAGGAGAAACTGAGGAGGGGAGGATGAGGGGGAAGAAGGGAAAGGGGGAGGAGGTAAGGAGGGGTGGACCGGCGGGGTACCGGGTCAGGTTGGGCCGGGTGGAGCCGGGTCAGGCGGGTGTGCCCTGACACAATGCAATAGTTGCAAGGTCCGATATAAGTCCAGAAAGTCCGAACTCGGAAGTTAAACTCCGGAATATTGGCAAACATAATTAAATGGAATGAGCTAACCAATACAATGGGTATAAGCAGAGGTGGGGTCAAAGTCCAAGGTCGGAGCTAAGACCGGAGGTTCCGGAGACAGAGATGTGAACGGGATTCCAGAGCGGAGGTCCGGAGTCGGGAGCATAGGTTTTGCATACTCATCTGGAAGGTGTCGAGGTTGGGGTCGGACCCGGAATGTTCCGGAGTCGGACCGAAGGTGGTGTCCGAGCCGGAGGTGGGATAACCTCTTGGGAGTCGGCAAGGAGAAGGTGACGGAAGGGAAGTAGGGCTCCGGAAGTCGGAGTTCGGAGTTCCGGGAGCCCGGAGCGGAGGTCGGGATTGTATGGATATGACAATGTCAAAATAAGTATAGCATATACTTGTGGGACTCACCCGATTTGTGGATCTCTCTGTTGCACAGAAAATCAAGACTCCTGATCTGCAAGGCCAAGTTCATGGTCTTCTTTAGCATGATGTCCGACACGTAGGCTCATGCACACTGGGGTGACATACCAACAACTGAAAGGGTCAGTCCCTTTATTGCTCTTGTGCATCTCCATTCTAACTGACTCTCAATGTTACAGGAATGGGTTCCAGGGAACCCAACCTGAGCCGTTCAGCTCACTAATGGAGGTGGCTGCGTAGCCATCAGAGGGAGAGCAGAATAGGATGAGTGTATGGAAGTACAACCTGTGTGTCGGCCAACGGTAACTTGGCACTCCTGGGAGCGTACCGGTAGCGAGTATGATGTGGGCTCCTTGAGGGAGCCACCTGGCTGTCTGCTAACGGGGACTTGGCGCTCCTGGGAGCGTGCCGGTAGCGGGTGTGCTGGGAGTGTTTGGCTAGCGGTGACTTGGCGCTCAATGGAGCGTACCGGTAGTGAGGGATACTGGGACTCCCAAAGGGAGTCACCCAGTTGGTGGCTATCGGTGACTTGGCGCTCATGGGAGCGTACCGGTAGTGGGAGTTGTTGGGGAAAGTGGGCTGGTGGACCAGTGCACGGTAGTGGGTGACCATGGGAAGTGGGACCCGCGGGTGCGTGGCCAGGCACCCTGGAGCTGCCTGGACCATATCCTTCTCCTGAGGAGGTGGGATAGGCTACAGTTCCTGATAGGGAACTTCTGGTTGGATGGGAGTAACCGCTCGACCACCTGGTGGACCAGTCGGAGCGGGCAGCAGGAGGTTGGGCATGGGAATGCCCTCCTCGTTGCGGTTTTGTCATGGAGAGGAGGAATAGGGAGGTGGACATGGTTCCAGGGTTACAGGTTGAGTTTACAGTGGTGACACAATGGTGAGGATGTTACAATCGCGGTACAAGGTTTGTGGGTTATGTATTTGATATGAAGAAACATCTCGGCAATTACCATACATGTCATATGACTTGTATCTATCTAATACAAATGTTATAATGGCCAAAGGAAGTCCCTTGGAAATCAACAAATCCCCCAGCCAGCACCAAAACCCAGTGGGAAAGCTTGGCATGGGGTTTGGCAGAGAATGAAGTGAGAAGAAAGTAAGAAATATCTTACTGTCAGGGCCCGGCCTCCGTCCAGGGGCGGCCCTACCTCAAAGCTGGACACTCGCGGTGTCCCAGGCAGCCAGGTGCCGGATCCTATCCCAAGCTCCTCAAACTCACTAAGCGGGGATTGAGTTGTCATGTATTATGGAAGGTAGCTACAACTTGCCTAAGTGGGGATTGAGTTAAGAAGAAGGGTAAGTTTCCCTATTCCCCGCTTGGCTGCTATAAAAGGAAATGTACTGTACAGTTCGTAGCGTGACTATGGGTAGAAGCCGAGCATGTTCCCGCGATGCGGAAAAGGTGTCACATGGGTTAAGGCGAGTTGCTCGCCTTGACCCACGTGATTTTTCCCACGGGTTCGCATGCGGGCTGTAGTTGTGAAAGATGGGAGGATGAGGGAAGTGGGGGGAGGTTAGGGAAGGTGGTTCTGGGGTTGTATGGTCAGGTGTGGTTGCCCTGACACTTACCTGTGTGCCTGGTCTATAGGAGTCTAGGCCCATTTCCATAGCAAGGTCTGGTTGCCTGTCACAGACCATAAGATTCTCCATTTCCATAACACTCAAAGCTTGTTTCAAAACACCCTGAGCTTGAGACTATGGAAATGAGTGAATCGCTGAATGCCCCAACCTGAAGTTAATGAAGAGCCGTATCGACAACTCATCATGCGATGCGATCGAGGAGGGAGCATCCCATACAACAAACAGCAAGGAAAAAGCAGAGTAATGCCGATGCCCAAGCCATCAGGGATTTGACCTAGCTATGTCTTCCATCGCTTATCACTCCCAAAAGTCATAACCCATGTACTAACTACTACTTTTTTACAGTACTTCTCTCTGGTCACTTGCGCTAACTCCTTTCACTCTTATTCACACCGCCATCGCCGACTCATTCAACTCCGCCCAATCCCACCTCTGCTCTTTTTCGCATAGAATGCTTCGAGTTTTCCACTCCTGTTCTATCTCTCTTGGTACTGTACTACTCGTGCATCGCCTGTGGGTCACTTCTGATGGCCACACTATGTGTATTAACTATCATATAAATGAATATTCTCTGACCCATATTGTACCATGCCAAAGATCGTAAAGTACCAACGACGAATCAGTAAATGACCAAATACCAATCTGGTAAAAATGGCCGTTTACCATAAAAAACATCGTACATCACCAGAAAAACTGATGTTATTCACCATTTTTGGTCTGGTATCCATTTCTGGTCAATTACTGCATACAAAGTGGTATATTACCGCCGCTCCAGTGGTGTTTGAGCTCGTATTTTACCAGACAAAAAATGGTAAATATTTTCCACTGTGACGCGACATTCCACATGTATCTAGTGCTGGTACGGCCCAGCTTCCTGCAAGATCGAAGTATGTATGTTCCTGTTGCCAACTTCACACGAAATCTCACGTAGGAAATCCTACTAGGGTAGCTGCGAACCATTTCACTTGATTCTGCGTGAGAGGATGGAATCTGCCACAAGACTTCCAAAGGGATGAATCGCGCTCGCTGTGAACTGTGCAGCATCTACGAGTGTTATCACCCGTTGCGTATCAGACCTTTCCTTCCATCTGCCTGTCGTTGGCCATGTCATTGAAGCACATCACGAAAATCGGACTGGCGCTCCCACATGGTCCAGATGCTCCCAGGTGCTCTGGAGCCTCCGGAGTGCTCTGGACCAGGGGACCTTGCTCTAGTTGCCTGTCCGATTTTCGTGATGCAGAGGGTCGTTGGTCTCCTCGCCGCGGGAGGTGATGTTCTCACCGCCGTCAATGCTGCATCGGAGCTTTACGATTTTCCACTGGTGTCGCACTCCTGATCCTCAGCGAGATCGAAGTCAGTAATGATTTATACCGAGCCAGGAGCGCAAGTTAACAATATGCATTATGTAGAAGTTCAGGGGAAACAAAGAGGAATGGGAGAGTTTTGGAAAATGTGTCGCGGACGCTATGGTCGATGTAGTTGCAGGCATCGATTTGTGCAATGCGTCTAATGAAGAGGTTAAGCTGCGGATGGAAAGTGTCACGAAGCTAAGCGAGTAAGTAGTATCTACTCTTTTGCGAGCCGTTGCCATCGTATAACGTAGGTACTTGTGGTTGCGCAGCAGCGTACGAAATTGATCGATTGTGCGGAAAGGTGGAAAGACAATCAAGTACCCACAACCCCCTCCACCACACGAAGAACCCCAGCAGGATCGGTGATTCGAGGAAGCGCGGCCTCGGCATTCTTCAAGGTAACTGTGTTTGATCCTCGTCGGTCATGTTGCTACTCTGATCTCGTTATCGGAACCATGTAGGTCGGTACAATCAACATCGGTTAATTCGTGGAGTCGTGAATTCTTCTGTTTTGAATGGACTCAGGTATCCCATTGTCGTCCATCGCGGTTCAGCTCAGGTGTGTCTGAAAGACATTACGACCGATCGGATCGAGCATCTTATGGTCTCGTGTCGTAACACAGGGGATAGTGAGAATTGCGTATTACTGCGGAGCGCCGTGGCCGGTGCCGACAAGATTCCGCAGAACACGCACGCGCACGCGCACACGGTGGAAGTGTCATCTAGCTCGTCTTTGTTCGACGTGACGTGGTTATCAGAGTCGCGACATATCAACTCCGGACTGCGAAGCTCGTCAAGTTCAACCAAAGTCCAATGAGACCGGTTACGCTTCCGATCCACTACCATCACAATTTTCCAGAACCGAGAATGACTGTTCAGGTCACCGATGATAAAAAGGTGGACAAGATTCCATAGGGTCACAAAATGCATCTTCCGTACATACAATTATGAGGAAAAGGACTTGAAACATTTCGACTCGAAGGGAGAAAGTAAGAAGGGAGGAGCTGCTCAGAGGGAGACTGTTGGTTCTTACGGGTTCTGGCGTAATCATCGGAGGAAACTGAAGGAATCTACGTTTTTGCACGCTCGTGAATTCGACTCGCTGAACCCGGTCATTGCTTGTATTATACAGATTTTGGTGCGAGAAGCAGTGGCCATTCGAGTGAACGTATCCCTCAGCCGCGTAAGTTCTGACATGCCACTCCTGCATCCATTCGGTCTCCGATTCACGATCGCTGCCCAGAGCCTATCATTTGATCTAAGGCACCTGAGCATGGCTGCTAAACCCGAGCACAATGAACCACTGAGAAATTGTGTCGCCCGCGGCCCACATCTACATGTTACCGGACATGCGCAAGACAGCAGTGGATAGACGGACTGTTCCTTACAATGCAAGCCATTCCCAAGGGGTATGAACACTTGAATGTTCTGCAATTGTGTATCGAAATTATCATTATCATGAACGGTGTAATGGACACAACATATGCAGGAGTTATTTTGAGTCGCGCGTGGTGATTGGGATCGAGCCAACGCGATTGGGGATCCCCGTGCATGGAAGAGATGAGAAGTACGTAGCGGGATCCTATCGGGGAGGAAGCAATTATTTTGTTTCGCACTTGGGGAATAATGATATGAAAGAAGCTTCGAGGGTGATAGGTATTGACGTAACATGTCATACAGCCGGAGTGCTTTGGGATGAGCTGGCTTGCTTCGTCGGGGGTTCTTAGGGGGATCGTTCATGGTTGTAAAGTGAGGGATTCGGCTTGTGGCACACGATCGTGATGAGGAGATCGAGACCAGCAAGACGCCGGGACTCATTACATAATACCGTTGGGCTTTGACGGGTTTCACCGAGCTGAATCACCAATCAGGTAATGTAGGGTAATGTGCAGCCCCATTCTGACCCACATGTTCGGGCGAAGGGCCCATCATCGCTAGCTGTAGGGATTGGTTTGCTGCCTGTATAGGGGTGTACTGTCATCATCGTTCCGTGGTGAGCCCATGGACAAAATTTTCGGTCGCGTGGGTTCAGCCTCTAGAGGTGCGTTCAAATTCAGATGTCTTATGTACAACTAACTTACTCGAGATCCACACTTAAAAATCCTGATCGGAGAATAAGGATTCAAATTCATCCACCTATGTCAGGCCTACCTGCTTCATCCGGGGTACAGTGACACGGCAAGGTCGTTAGCTGCGGTGGTAATGCCAAATCCTCCCATTCCGCCATCTTCTTGTTGCTTCCGGGGCGCATCACCATACATTTTTGCGAACACGCAGTAGTCTATGTGCGCCTGGCACCGGCCTTCTTGCAAGGTCGAAGGATGTTCCCGAACTTTGCATCAAACCTCCCATAGCGAACCTAGAGCAGAACCAAGATAGATGGGTGTGGATCGGTTTCTCAGTTGGTTCTGCATAAGAGGATGGAATCTGCCGCAAGACTTTCCATAAGCGCGCAATGGGATGAATTGCGCCTTGCGGCGATCTCATGGCTGTGAACTCCGCAGCCTCTACTTGAGTGTCACCATCCGCTGCGCGACCGACCTTTTCTCCTCATCCTTCATTATTGGCCATGTCGCTGAGGCAGAGGGTCGATAATCTCCTCGCCGTGGGAGGCGATGTTGCCATTCCAGTTCTCACCGCCGTCAACACCGCATCGGGCGTGTTCCCTCCCCTACAGGCTGCCACCAATGCCGCACTGCTCATCCTCACTGAAATCAAAGTTAGTAGCAATATATATCGATCCTGGGACGGAACTTGACAATCTGCTTTGTATAGAAATTCAAGGGAAATAAGGGAGAATTGGAGCGTTTTGGAAAATATATCGGAGACACCATGGTCAATGTGGTTACAGCCATTGGTTCGTATGGTGAATCTAATGAAAAACCCAAGTCGTGGGTTGAAAGTGTCAAGAAGCTGGGCGAGTAAGTAGTATCTGCTCCATGCAAGCCACTGCGGTTGTATAACATGAGTAATCTGTAGGGCGCTGGAGCGCATTCAAATTGAAATCCGTCGATTGAGTGGGAAGATGGAAAGACAGTCTGGTATCCGCAACTTCTTCTCCCATATGAAGAACCCTAGCAGGCTCGATGATTTAAAGAAAGATTTTGGCGAAGCCTTGGCAATGTTCCAGGTAGTCCCGTTTGATTCCCGGTTATGTTTCTGTCCTGATCTCATTATCGTAGCTGGAGACAGACTTGATGGTTGGTGCGATAGCAAACAATCAAGTTCTGAATGAACTTAAATATCCTATTGTCCCCCATCACGATTCAACACAGCCGTGCCTGCCAGACACTAGGATTGATCTGATCGAGCGTATAATGGCGTGGTGTCGTACCACGGAGGATGGCAAGAATCGCGTATTACTGCTTACTGCCGTGGCTGGTGCGGGCAAGACATCTGTTGCGCTCTCAATCGCAGAGGAGTGTAAAAGAGCAAAGATATCATCGTCAAGCTTCTTTTTCAAAGCAGGCGAGCAGTCGCAGCCGGACCATCTGTTCAGCGGCATGGCTCGATCTCTGGCAACCAGTGACCCCGCATACCGTGCCTCCCTCATATCGGCTCTTCAAGAGGACCCAGCCCTCTCGACTGCCCCATTCGCGACGCAATTCGAGAAACTAGTGGCTGAACCTCTCCGTCTCAGGACATCCTTGTCTGACCGTCCTATGGTGATTATCATTGATGCGTTAGATGAGTGCGATACAAAGTCATTCCCACGTCTTGCCGATATACTTCGGAAAGCAGTCCCAAAACTACCACCCAACATCAAATTCTTTCTCACTTCGAGACAATTTGACCTCGTTGATCGTTTCCTATCGCCGAATTACCCTATTGATCGCCTCACCATCGATCTGTCGGACGATGCTAACATGCATGACTGTGCTATCTACATCCGATCACAACTATACGAACTGAAGGACGTGCATCCTGGTTTGGAAGATGGAATCGGGGAAGAAGACACATTAGTCCAAAGCATACGAGAGCGAGCGGGCGGCTTGTTCATTTGGATCAGTACTGTCTTTGATTACATGAAGGTCAGCGGTAGTGATGCTACGAAGATGCTGAAGAAACTGCTGGATGAAGATCTCAACCGACCAAAGGCGTCCGCTGAGGAAGTGATGGATAGGCTATATGCGAATATTTTAGAGAAGTGCAACTGGAAGGATGACGATTTCGTGCATGACTACCCGATCGTGATGGGAGCAATTCTAATCGCCCAGAAGCCACTATCTGTTGTGGCCTGGGACGCCATTCTCTCACCACTGCTGGCGTCGGACATCCGATATGCATTAGCTCAGCTTGCACCCCTTGTCTCAGGAGTTGGGGATGCTAAAAGGCCAATTCGTATTCTGCACCAATCTTTTCGCGACTTTCTCACAGACCGAGTCAATCCACAATCACCCATACTTGGTCGGTTTGGAGTGGATGCGAGGAGGGAGAACGACAGAGTGGCCCTGCGCTGCATCGAAATCTTGAATACAGAACTTTCGAGTATAAAGGATTTAGGGCTGATTGAGGACTTATCCGAAAAAGCCAAGCTGCCACCCATTCCTCAAGAGGTGCCGTCTGAACATGTCCATTATGCATGTCGGCATTTCGTGCATCATCTTAGCCAATTGCAGGAGCCGCTGGAGGCGGCCAAAGATTCTATTCACGCATTTCTCAACGAGCAAATATTGCGCTGGGTGGAAGTCTGTGTGAGGACGGAAGGGTACATTAGTATATCATTGTTCCCTGAATGGGCCAAGGTACGAATCATCAGTAGCGATTGTTTGAGGCTCTTGTTCAGTCTCATGTTCCTGCAGTTGAACATTGATCGGGCCTCCAAAGAAGTCATTCACAAGTTGGTCAAAGTGTTTCGCAATGTGAGGAGAAATCTTGCGTTCTTTTTAAGATTGCAGGAGGCATATGAGTTGGCAAATGATTCAGTTGCACTGTGCCATTGCCTTGTGTCTACGGACTCAGAGTCCTACACCCCGGATTTAGCTCGAGCACTTGGGAGCCTAGATGCATCACTCACCAACCTTGGACAACATTCTGAAGCACTCCTTGTGAACGAAGCAAGTGTGAAACTCTGGCGCGAGCTCGTTGCCACCCATCCAGCATCATACACCCCAGATTTGGCTCGAGCGCTCCTGAATCTTTTTGTATCACTCGACAAAGTTGGACGCCATTCCGAGGCACTCATGGTAATCAAAGAAAGTGTGAAACTCTGGCGCGAGCTCGTTGCCACCCATCCAGCATCATACACCCCAGATTTGGCTCGAGCGCTCCTGAATCTTAAAGTATCACTCCACAAAGTTGGACGCCATTCCGAGGCACTCATGGTAATCAAAGAAAGTGTGAAACTCTGGCGCGAGCTCGTTGCCACCCATCCAACATCATACACCCCAGATTTGGCTCGAGCGCTCCGGGATCTTTTTGTATCACTCGACAAAGTTGGATGCCATTCCGAGGCACTCATGGTAATCAAAGAAAGTGTGAAACTCTGGCGCGAGCTCGTTGCCACCCATCCAGCATCATACACCCCAGATTTGGCTCGAGCGCTCCGGAATCTTAAAGTATCACTCGACAAAGTTGGACGCCATTCCGAGGCACTCACGGTAATCAAAGAAAGTGTGAAACTCTGGCGCGAGCTCGTTGCCACCCATCCAGCATCATACACCCCAGATTTGGCTGGAGCACTCCGGAATCTTAAAGTATCACTCGGCAAAGTTGGACGCCATTCCGAGGCACTCACGGTAATCGAAGAAAGTGTGAAACTCTGGCGCGAGCTCGTTGCCACCCATCCAGCATCATACACCCCGGATTTGGCTCGAGCGCTCCAGAATCTTAAAGTATCACTCAACAAAGTTGGACACCATTCCGAGGCACTCACGGTAATCGAAGAAAGTGTGAAACTCTGGCGCGAGCTCGTTGCCACCCATCCAGCATCATACACCCCAGATTTGGCTGGAGCGCTCCTGAATCTTTTTGTATCGCTCGACAAAGTTGGACGCCATTCCGAGGCACTCATGGTAATCAAAGAAAGTGTGAAACTCTGGCGCGAGCTCGTTGCCACCCATCCAGCATCATACACCCCAGATTTGGCTGAAGCGCTCCTGAATCTTTCTGTATCACTCGACAAAGTTGGACGCCATTCCGAGGCACTCACGGTAATCGAAGAAAGTGTGAAACTCTGGCGCGAGCTCGTTGCCACCCATCCAGCATCATACACCCCAGATTTGGCTGGAGCGCTCCGGAATCTTAAAGTATCACTCAACAAAGTTGGACGCCATTCCGAGGCACTCACGGTAATCGAAGAAAGTGTGAAACTCTGGCGCGAGCTGGTTGCCGCCCATCCAACATCATACACCCCGGATTTAGCTCGAGCGCTTGGGGGTCTAGATGCATCGCTCACCAACATTGGACAACATTCTGAGGCACTCCTTGTGAATGAAGAAAGTGTGAAGCTCTGGCGCGAGTTAGTTGCCATCCAACCGATATCGTACTCCCCCGATTTGGCTCAAGCACTCGGGAATCTTGTAATATCTCTCGACAATCTCGGACGCCACTCTGAGGCGCTCCTCATAAATGAAGAAAGGCTCAGACTCCTGCCCCAGTAGTTGTCATTTATCTGATATCATCCACTCCGGGTTCGACACGATCATTCTGCAGCCTCATGCTCACCAGCTCGTGCAAACAGTCACCATTATGCCAAGACCCTAACTTCCGTTCAAGATTTTGTTGTTCGCGGCGAGTTACTCACCCGCCATCATGTGTTTTTGGTGTAGCCTTGGTAATGCAGACTCCACCTGTTTTCATGCTTAGGGCGCTGTGTGGACGCAGGACAGGAGTCAATATTACACTATCACTAGCTTCATTCCCAATACATGCACACAAGTCTTAACAATCATATTCCTGCGTTACTCATGTCAGACTTTCTTCCCCTCCCTTGATCGATCATCATTGTTTGAGAAGACCCAGGAGTCTAATAATTATCATCGCTTTTCGGGACTCATCAAGACCATTTCATCCGAGCGCGAAGGTTATCACCGGGAATCCGGAGTGAAGAAGCATGCACACCCAACCTCACATTCCCGGATCCGGAAAACCCGGCCGTGAGTATGTAATACATATTCACTTCTCTTTCACGTGTCGGAAACACACCCCGAGGAAGTGATCACTCCGACTCCATTCCTTTCTGACTCCGGGCGCAGAAGGGCGGGCTGTTTGACAAGTGAGTGCGGGAATTCGACCTCAGTTGATCAGCCGATCACTCTTCAAGTAAGAAATAATGCTTCAAGGAGGAGGCCACAATCCTTCTCTTCTTCCACATGTCCTTCACGCCAAGTGCGAAGAGACACATCTATGATGTCATCACCACAGGATCATTACCTCCCCAGTAGGGACCCGTTTTCATCTGTGGCGAAGAACCGTGCTTAAAATTGATCTTAGTACCGCAGTCAATCTATTTCCACATTGTCCTTCGAGGTATGTCCTGATCCAATTCAAATTCAAAACAAAGGGATGTATATTTACAACTGACTTACTCGAGGCCCAACACTTGAGTGGAGCATTAAGCGTTCAAACCTGTCATCCAGTGTTAGAGCGCCATTTTTCACTCATCTGCTTCGTCGGGGTCCAGTGACACCACGAGGTCGTTCGCCGTTAGTGGAAATGCCAAATCCTCCCATTCCGCCATCCTATCTTGTTACTGCCAGTGTGCATCACCACTCGCTTTGCAAACACGCGACATTCCACATGAATCTGGTGCTGGTACGGCCCAGCTTCCTGCAAGATCGAAGTATGTATGTTCCTGTTGCCAACTTTACACCAAATCTCACGTAGAAAATCCTAGGGTAGCTGCGAACCATTTCACTTGATTCTGCGTGAGAGGATGGAATCTACCACAAGACTTCCAAAGGGATGAATTGCACTCGCTGTGAACTGTGCACCATCTACGAGTGTTATCACCCGTTGTTCCATCTGCCTGTCATTGGTGATGTCATTGAAGCAGAGGGTCGTTGGTCTCCTCGCCGTGGGAGGCGATGTTCTCACCGCCGTCAATGCTGCATCGGGGCTGTTCCCTCCTTTACAATTTGCCACTCGTGCCACACTCCTGATCCTCAGCGAGATCAAAGTTAGTAATAATTTATAACGAGCCAGGAGCGAGAGTCAACAATATGCATTATGTAGAAGTTCAGGGGAGGAATGGGAGAGTTTTGAATATATCACAGACGCTATGGTCGATGTGGTTGCAGGCATCGATTTGTATGATGCGTCTAACGAAGAGGTTAAGCCGTGGATGGAAAGTGTCACAAAGCTAGGCGAGTAAGTAGTATCTACTCTTATGCAAGCCATTGCCATCGTATAACTTGTGGTTACGCAGCAGCGTATTCAACCCGAAATTGATCGATTGTGCGGAAAGATGGAAAGACAGTTAGGTACCCACAACCCCCTCCCCCACACCACGAAGAACCCCAGCAGGATCGATGATTTAAAGAAAAATTTTAGCGCGGCCTTGGTGTAATTCTGTTTGACCCTCGTCGGTCATGTTGCTGCTCCGATCTCATTATCGTAGCCATGTAGCTGCGGACAAAGTTGACGGTTGGTGCAATAGCAAACAATCAAGATCGGTTAATTCGTGGAGTAGTGACTTCTTCTGTTCTGAATGGACTTCAGTATCCCATGTCGTCCATCACGATTCAACCCAGGCGTGTCTGAAGACATTAGAACCAATCGCATCGAGTATATTATGGCCTGGTGTCGTAGTAGCGAGAATCGTGTATGACTGCGGAACGTCGTGGCCGGGCCGACAGGACATCTATTGCGCTCTCGACTTCAAAGGATATTAGCAGTGCAAACTTCCTTCGGGTGATAAAATCCCTGCTATCGCCTTGGGGACTTGGAAATCGAGGCCAGGAGAGACCGAACTTGCCGTAAGTATCTGCCGCTCTCAGTGCGGGCTACAAACATATCGATGGAGCGTGGATATACGGAAGTTCAAACATATCTCGTGAAGCTCATCTGAGTCATTTGTCGCACGTTCCATGAACTGCGTACTGCGAAAATCTAGAGACTCGGTATCGCTGTGCGAAAAAGTAGTGTCAAGCGGGAAAATATTTGGCTCACAAGCAAGGCATCTATTGCCTGACGATGATGCCAACTGCTCCCTGTATCTGATGCGTGGACCCTCCACACTAGCCGTAGCGTTTCACCGACCGGAAGACATGGGGGGGAATTCTCGACCGAACATTGACCGCGTTGCAGACATCATATCTTGATCTATATCTGGTCCACTGGTACGCCACGCATTATGGCATTTTCTCGCTAATTGCAACGAACACTACAGTGTTACCAGGCCCGTTGCTTTCGAGAAGGGGACCCGGGAAGTAGACGCGGATCTCACTGAGAATCCTTGTACGACGGTGGTGGAGATGGTGGATAAAGGGAAAGTACGCAACATTGGAGTCTCGAAGTAGGTCTTCTTTGGCGAACTCGATGGCTCCTGCTGAAGCAGTTTCAATAGTCGGCGCCTCGAAAATTTAACTGCCAGTCCACTCAAATATCAGCCTGCGGTGAATCAAGTTGAAACTAATTGGCTCAACTCACGACCCAAACTTCTCGAGTGGTCTAGAAACAATGGAACCCTTTTAGAAACATACTCGCCGCTTGGGAGCGATAGGCAAGTCAAAGACAGTTTCAGTGGGTGCAGAACTCGGCGTTACCCCCGCTCAAGCTATTATCTCTTGGCTGAAGCAACGTGGGGTGGTTGTATTACCGAAGAGCGTTATTCCGCCAGGGATTCAAGAGAACATCCAAGGTGTGTGTACTGATGCCCCCCGTTTTTCATACCTCTCCATTCACATAACTTTGTCCTCTCCCTCCCCTTTCAAACAGTGTTTGAGCTTCCGCGAGAGGCTTTTGACAAGATCGAGAAATCCGCCACGTCGCACAAACCTCAAAGGGTAGTCAACCTGTCGGAGCAATGGGGACATGATATTTTCAAGGACGAGTAAACTTGTCTCATCGAGGATATAGATGTATGTGTCCATCTTGAGAGTGTTACACTGCCTCCAAATCTGATGATTTCACTGACAGCTACCTGTGACTTCAGTTGCAAATATCGGACGAACATGACTGATCTCTCATAGTGATGCCTGCAAAGCCACAGGCAGCACAAGGGATTGGAATGAGTTCCCTTTGTCATATTGTCTGATCGCGACCATCAAAGTGATGAACATCGGGTTGCTCATCCATATCATCCTACACATCCAGGCGGACTCTCCCAGTTTCTTTAGTGTTAGGGTGCATCGCAAGCTGCCCGCGTGGGCGCGTAATGGGGTCGCTATTGTCTGGAATAGGACATGGAGTCTTGGGATGCTTGCAGTGACGAGGGTCTGCACTGGAATGGACGGGTGGCAAGTATGATGCCTTAAATTGCACCACGGGCGCATCAATTAAGGTACGTGGCGTTGGAACGAGTTAAGGAAGGGTGACGTTGAACCGTATTATCTTCGTTCAATGGGTCACGCTTTGGCCCAGCCTCTACTTTAGTAGAGGCTAAGATCCTGCCTAGGCCCGGCCGGGACTGAGTTCAAATATCGACCCAATGGTCACGTTGATTGCCTAAGCGATCACGAATCTCGTCTGTTGCTCCGCTTGTGCCCGTGATCGTCTCAGCAGCTTGTTGGACTCACCACGGTCACAAACGGCCATCATGTCAATCTACCGATCAAACCCTTGTCAGCTGTGTCATGACTTCAATCGCTGTGGAACAGCGAGCGAGAAGCAAATGTGCTACGAGTCTTGAATTTAGGTCATTCCCAACCTGGCTGCACATTTAAATCAGCTTCTTTGGTCTCACATGGATGACAAATCGGATGGCGAGCTGGGAGCCTGGCTTGTATAGCGCAGGTGCTACGATCTTCTTGCTGTGAGCATCAAAGCGGCCAGAAGATGGCAAGCCTGGCCCGCAGAACGAAAATCGCCTCATGACTGCGTAGTGCATATCCTGAATATCTGGCTTCTCTAACGTAAAGACGAGTTCGTTCATCAAAATGCCTCTTGGATGGCGCTGAACAACGATACGAGCATCTAGGGATCTTCCTACCGATGACACGAGGAAAATTCACTTTCCCCACATTCTGATGGTCAGAGTTATTGCGAATCCTGGCCACTATTGCCTCTTACAAGGATATTGTCTACTCGTGAATATGAAGGGCAACTTGATGCCGACAATGGTAATACACGGTTGGACCAGTTCGTGGGATCCAACTCACACCCTTACACCCTTGATGTTCACAGTCCTTGGCAGATCTTTCAGCCATGACCTCCACCCATTGGCTCTTCTGCAACGGCTCTTTCATCCGGTGGCTTGCAGTAAAGGATGTGACTGCTTCCAGTTCCACGATGATTTTTAGAATAATGGGGCGTGGAAGACATCACACGTTACAGAACACATGACACTTCAGAGAGGATAATTATTGTGTCGACCTCTGATGAGCACTTCACTTAATCGCTGTTCAGGGGATATAAAAGACTCATCCTCCAGCAGCTCAGACCGGTCCTCCAAACCTGTAAAGAGTCAACGAACCCCCGTAACCCAACCCGCATCATTTCTTCCAATTCCATCACAATAAACTACAGGTGTGTTGAGTTATGATTAAATAATGTATCATTTGGGTTGATACTGCTATGTTTCAACAGATATGGTGGATGTTGTTACCGAGCTCAGACAATACCTCTTTGCAAATCCTGACGTCTATAGAGCATTCGCATTAGCCGTTCGCATCGTCCTTCGGATGAACATTCCGCAGTTGGAACAGCTGGGGATCAGGAGTTTGAATGATTACCTCGATTTCTATGAGACGCTTTTGAATTGGGTGCCTACGGAGACGAGTGATGGAAGGAACATTTACTATCACTTGTGCATTTTCTACTTCATTTTGGACCAGCTCCCCTTGAGGCTTCTTCAAACTCCGATTCTTCCTACTTCCACACCCCCTTACACCTGGCTTTCAGACTGGGTTATTTCCTTTGCGAAAGCCATGGGTGCTAACATGGACAAACCCGAATCGTTGACCCCAGAGTCGCTTCAGACCTTCTACGATGCTCCCAGTTACCGGATGGAAGACTATATCGTGCCCGAGGGGGGCTGGCAGAACTTCAACGAGTTTTTCGCCCGGGAACTTAAACCTGGGCTTCGGCCCATCGATGCTCCCGATGACTCTAGGGTCATCGTGGGTTCCGCTGATTCCGTCTTCGACGGTTTCTGGCTTATTGAAGATGAGGGTGTGGTTTATTTGAAGTACATTCCGTGGCCAGTTAAGCTCCTGCTGGCAGATAGCGCTTATGGGGATCAATTCGACGGCGGTGCCTTCACGCACTCCTTCCTCGCACCAAACGACTACCATCGTCAGCATGCACCGGTGTCCGGTACAGTTTTGGAAGCGAAAGTCATCCCCGGCCTTTGCTATCTCGAGGTCGAGGCAACGACCGGCACCGACGGAAAGATCTCTTTCGGAATGCGAAGAGGCCTTCCGGAGGCCGAGATCGGTCGTGGAGCGCGTAAGTGGCGTCGGAGGCGTGGCGAGGTGCCTCCAAATGATGACATCAACGCCCCCAACTCGCCTGGTTATCAATTCCTTCAGGCGCGTGGACTCATCGTTATCGATAACCCCGTCCTTGGTCTAGTTGCTGTTTTACCCGTCGGAATGGCGCAGATATCGTCGGTCGTACTTTCGGTCCAGCCTGGCCAACAAGTGGAGAAGGGGGACGAGATTTCTTACTTCCAATGCGGTGGTTCTGATTGCGTTATTGTCTTCCAGAAGGGGGCTAACGTCCAGTTCACTGCTACTATCGGCGAACATTACAACTACGGCGAAAAGATTGCAGAGAGTGTACCCGATGATTGATGAGCACTGAATCTCAATGGTCTCGATGACACCCCCCATCTCGATGCATGTCTCTTCAGAAACCTGCACCTCACCCGTCTTCTAGGATTGCTTTGCGCCTCTTGGAATTTTGTACTTCTATCTCAACTGTACCAACATGTTCTGTCGTGCTTGTCTTGTAAGTTCCAAATGTTGCCCTGTTTTTCGATGTCAAACAATCAAGTTATCATGCGGTCGTAGCCGGGATACCAGCCATCCTTGTTAATAAGCTGTTGTAATACGATTGTAGGCTACCCGCGAGGACAGCAAATAGATACCAGGCCCTTCCGTCTACAGCCAACGTGGGTCTGCTATGCTGGGTCACAACCAGGGCAGTAATGCGCACGCACAAAGTTAACCACCACACACTAGCTCAACTCATTTTCGAATTCGACATTGATCAAAATACTGTACTATCACCTAAATCAGCGCTACCATCAATCCCCTTCCATGCATGACATGTAATTCCAATACAAGTCGAGACCCGGAGAGATCAAACCTGCCGTATCTGCCGCTCTCAGTGCAGGCTACAAACATATCTCGTGAAGCTCGTCCGAGTCATCCGTCGCACGTTCCATGAACTGCGTTCTGCGAAAATCTGTCACGTCATTCAACAAATGGGATGGTCGCGGAAGGACTTGCTCAGCTATGGACGGTTCCTTGGTAACTAGAAGTAGGAGTCCAAGCGCCTTGGCCGAAGAAAATTTGACGACAAAGATGGTGGCGTGAAGCGAGATCTGGTCAGGGATGGAATCGTATTGATTCCCCGTCAAGGATATGATTCTGTTCCGTCGAGGTGAGGGTCACGACTGTCAGTATTGCTCTAACACGCATCTGCAGGAAAATCAGCTGTCTTCCCGGTATGGCGACGCCCATCACGCTCACATTCCCCAGAGTGTTTTTCTCCTGTCTGTACCTGCTGCCCTGACAATCCTCAGTATTGCTCTCCAACCTATTGGCTCTTCCTGTCCCGCTCAAAGTAGCGAGATATCTGTTGGCTCTCTGGTTGATCCAGCATGTTTCCGTACGTCTCGGAGGTGAAGACATGAAGTTAACTCATGCCTCATGATTTGTACTTGAGCTCGTGGAGAACGGATGATTGTTATGAGTGTATTTCGTAATATGTGATGCGCCAGAGGCTTACGTGGGGTTGATACTCATAATTGGCTCACAAGCTCTTACTTCTCGCATTTTCCAAGACGGTCCAGCGCACGAGCAGTGCAGGAATATGACAGTCGAGACTCATACGCATAAACGGCAGAGTATTCGGAGTGAAGCTGGGAGAGCATGTGACGACTGCACATCCATGCCAAGTGTCCAAGTAGCACCTGAAGCATGAAACATGATAGGACCTACAATACCAAGGCTAAATCAAATGCATATGATGGATGAGTAACATACAACTCACGACGATATGAGCTACTGCAATCGCAGAATGATCGCGACAGACTCAGGTGGATAAATGGAAACTACTGGCGCAAGAGTCTGCGCCTTTCGTCATTTACGAGGAGCGCCTCGGAATGCCGTCCGAGATTGCCAAGCGATACAACAAGATTTCCGAGTGCTCGAGCCAAATCCGGTGTTTCCATGAATAACAGCTAGCCCGCGCCAGAGTCCGACACTCTCTTCAATCACTGCGAGTGCCTCGGAATGCCGACTGAGATTGTGAAATGATACAAAAGGATTTCCGAGCGATCGAGTTAAATCCGGAGTGTATGAGGTGGGATGGACAGCAACTAGCTCACGCCAGAGTTTGACACTTTCTTCAATCACCAGGAGTGACTCGGAATGCCGTCCGAGATTGTCCAGTGATACTTTGAGATTCCGGAGGGCTCCAGCCAAATCCGGAATGTATGATGCTGGATGGACTGCGACTAGCCCACGCCAAAGCCTGACACCCTCTTCGATCACCGGGAGCGCCTCAGAATGCCATCCGAGTTTCTCAAGTGATACAGAAAGATTCTCGAGCGCTCGGGCCAAATCCGAGGTGTATGATGTGTGAGGGGCGGCAACTAGCTCGCGCCAGAGTTTGACACTTTCTTCGATCACCTGGAGCACCTCAGAATGCCATCCGAGACTGTCCAGTGACACAAATAAATTCGCGAGCAAGTCCGGGGTGTATGCTGTCGGATGGGCAGCAACTAGCTCACGCCAAAGTCTGACACTTTCTTCTATCACCGGAAGCGCCTCCGAATGCCGTCCAAGATTATTCAGCGATACGGAAAGATTCTCAAGTGCTCCAGCCAAATCTGGGGTATACAACGTCGGATGGAGAGCAACTAGCTCGCGCCGGAGTTCAACACTTTCTTCGATCACCGAGAGTGCTTCCGAATACCTTCCGAAAATGTCCAGTGACACCTTAAGATTCTCAAGCGCTCGAGCCAAATCCGAGGTGTATGTCGAGTGGACAGCAACTAGCTTGCGCCAGAGATTGACACTTTCCTCAATCACCGCGAGCGCCTTGGAATGCTGCCCGAGATTGTCCAGTGATACTCGAGCGCCCGAGCGAAATCTGGGCTGTATGATGTCGGATGGACTGCAACCAGCTCTCGCCAGATCTTGACACTTTCCTCGATCACCGGAAGAGCTTCAGAATGCCGTCCAAGATTGTCCAGTGATATAAAAAGATTCCCGAGGGCTTGAGCCAAATCCGGATGGTAGGACTCTGTGCCCGCGGAAACAAGGCTACGGCAAAATGCAACGGAATCATTTGCCAACTCATATGCCTCCTGCAATCTTAGAAAGAATGCAAGGTTTCCCCTCACATTGCCGAACACTTTGACCAGCATGTGAATGACTTCTTTTGAGGTCCGTTCAACGCTCAACTGAAAGAGTATGAGATTAAGTATGAATGCCAAATGGACGCTACTGATGATTCGCACCTTGGCCCACTCAGGGAATGATGATATGCTAATGTACCCTTCCGTCCTCACACAGACTTCCCCCCAGTGCGCTATTTGGTGATTGAGGAATGCGTGAACAGATCCACTGGGAATTTCCAGTGGCTCTTGAACTTGCCTGAGATGGCACACAAAATGGTGACACGCGTAATGGAATTGTTCGGACAGCGTGCCTCGAGGAATTGGTGGCAGCTTGGCCTTTTCGGACAAACCCTCAATCAGCCCCAAATGCTTCATGGTGGGAAGGTCCTTATTCAATATTTCGATACAGCACAGGGCCACTCTGGAGTTCTCCCTCAGCATTTTAGAAAAGTGTGATTGGAAGAACGACGACTTTGTGCATGATTATCCGATTGTGATGGGAGCAATCTTAATCGCACAAATGCCACTGTCGGTTGCGGCATGGGATGCCATTTTGTCACCACTCCTGACCTCGCCCATTCGATATACGTTGGCCGAACTTGCACCCCTCCTCTCAGGAGTCAAGGATCCTGACAAGTCGATTCGTATTTTGCATCAATCTTTTCGCGACTTTCTCGTGGACCGAATTGACCCGCAATCACCCACACTCCGTCGGCTTGCAGTGGATACGAGCGTATACAGGCTATCCATCATTTCCTCAGTGGAGACCTTCGATCCGTTCTCCCCGGCATCGAGCAGCTTCTTCAGCATCCTCGCAGGATCACCATTAGCGATCTTCATGTAGCGGAAGATGGTACTGATCCAAATGAACAAGCCACCTGCCCGTTCCAATATACTTTGGACCAATTTCTCCTCATCCTCGATTCGGTATTTCAAATCAGGATGCACACCTTTCAGTTCGCGTAATTGTGATTGGATGTAGACAGTACAGTCATGCACGTTGGCATCATCTGAGAGATTGATGCTGAGGCGATCGATAGGGAAATCAGGTGATAGAAAACGATTAACGAGGTCGAATTGTCTTGAAGTGACAAAAAATTTGATGTTGGGCGGCAGTTTTGGCACTTCCTTTCGAAGCATATTAGCAAGACGTGGAAACGCTTCCGTGTCACACTCGTCCAACGCATCGATGATGACTACCATAGAACGGTCGGACGGAGAGGTTTTGAGATGGAGAGGCTCAGCCACTAGCTTCTTGAATTGCGTCACAAATGGAGCAGTCGAGAGGGTTGGGTCTTCTTGAGGGGTCGATATGAGAGAGGCGCGGTATAAAGGGTCGTGCGTTGCCAGAGATCGAGCCATGCCGCTGAACATATGATCTGGCCGCGATTGTTCGCCTGCCTTGAAGAAGCTTAACAGTAATATCCTTTCCTTTTTACATTCCTCTGCGATTGAATGGGCAACAGATGTTTTGCCTGCACCAGCGACGGCGGTCAGCAGCAATACACGTTTTTCTCCATTCCCCGTGTTGCGGCACCATGCCATACTGTGCCCAATCAGATCAGCCCTCGTGCCTTCCAGGCACCCCTGAGTTGAATCGTGGTGGGCGACAACGGGGTATTTAAGTTCGTTCAGAACTGAGGAATTCTCTACCTCATGAGTTAACCGATCTTGATTATTTGCTATTGCACCAATTGCCAGGTTTATCTCTAGCTACGTGGTCGCTGTGATAAGACCATAAACCAATGAGGATCAAATAAAATTACCTGGAACGACGCCAACGTTTCATTGAAATCCTTCTTTAAATCATCAATCCTGTTGGGGTTCTTCATGTGAGAGAAGAAATTGCGGATGCCAGACCGTCTTTCCACCTTTCCACGCAGTCGACCGATTTCGGTTTGAATGCGCTGCAATGCCCTGTGAAGTACCTAGTCACACGATGGTGACGGGTTGCATAGAGTGGACACTACTTACTCGCCCAGTTTTGTGATGCCTTGCACCTACGGCTTTACCTCCTCACCGGAGGCATCATATGAATCAATGGCTGCAACCACACGGACGACGGCATCAGCGATATATTTTCCAGAACGCTCCCATTGTTTCTTATTTCCCTCGAACTTCTGCACCATCCGGACTGTCAACGTTCATTCCCGCCCGACGAAGCGTTGACGGCAGTAAGGATTGGGATTGCCACATCACCTCCCACCGCAAGGAGATTGTGCGCAACAGAGGCAGCGACACGCAAACGAGGGCTGCGCAGCACACAGTCATGTGTCGACCCAGTGCGGTCAAACGGCAGATTCCATGGATCTCTATGTACGAACTCGGCAATATGTTCATGAGGTTGAGGTGTCAGACACTGCAAAACCCGATGACCATAACAACCCGAAGGTACCAACCAGCAACCCCCCTTCATCTACAGAGAATCCCCTCATGTACGCTACGGTGTATCGACGGGCCACGCCCATCAAGGATAGATTCATCGTCATCATCATCACCCCAAACTCCAATGCAGTCTTCAAATAACTCGGGAAATCCCTGAACAAGGCTGCGTTCCGCAGCACGGTTTTGGCGCGACTTGGCTTGTATCGGAGAATGCCACGCTAGAAATTTCGCAACCCTTGAAGGGGTTGCGGCACCGCACAGCAGAGGGCGCGACAGAATTCCATGCAGTTCTCAACATCTTCACCGCAGGCCCTTAGTGCAACTAGCTCTCCCCTACTGCTTGACACCCCCTGGGTTCTGCGATGAAATAGATTGGAATTTTCTTGCTTAATTCCAATAGAGTATGAATACCAAGTGCTCTGAGAGTGGTCGACGTGGCTTGGTGGGACCCAATTTACTCCGTGCCCTCATGGACGAACGTGATTCCGTACCCAGCGTTCCAGTTGAGCGTTTTCAGGTTCAGTCAATGTGCGCATGAAAAAAAAAACATAGAGCGACGCACTAATCCATTAATCATCCAACTGTCGATCAGGCTCAGAATATGTGATGATAATACTAGCATCAACCTGTGTGAATGGACCTTAATTATGTTTGGTTATCTATCATCACCATCGATGATCTCGAGGAGCGCGATCCATGTCGCAACACAAACATCTCCTGGTTATCCTACTGCGATACGGAAGCCCAAAGCAGTATCCAGCCTAAGCGAACCGGGTAACTTGCGGAGCATTCACCAAAAGGGAAGTCGATGACAAGCGACGATACTTCATTCTCGCCATGTGCTCTCCGCGATGGTTTTCTTGCATATGATTTTGGATCCATTCTTGTTTCCCTTCCGAGTTGTACGGGATAAAGCTTTCCTCGCGTTTTCAATCGACGATGTTATGAAATTATGACATGGGCCCCCATCGGGTGAACGGATCCCTGTGATTGCGTTGGGAGCACGACTGTCAACGCCCGGCGAAGCTGGGGCCCCCTACTTCCACTGCTTTGGAAAAAAGTGTGGATGTGCGGGGGGGAACTTGATCTCTGGGTATGCTCTCTACCCCTGAACGAGAAAGAAATTGGCATCGCCTTGAAAGAAAGTCATGAGCGGGGAAGACATCTGACTTAGGTATGATTTCTTCCTCCTGTGCCTCTGGCTTTAATAGACGAGTGCTCTGTGGGGCTAGTTACGGAATTCACTCTACCGACCTGAAGACGTCGAAGCAGCGCTGGACGAAACTTTGACTGTATTGCGTGCAGGGTTTATATCTCGCCCATTAAGCATAACGGACCCCCCTACTTGGCCAGCGGCATTCAGGAAGGGCGCCCAGGAGGTGAATGCCGAGGCCCCTGAAACCCGCTACCTCAAGAAAGTAAAATCTGCAACATGGTAACCCCCCAGCGTTGGTTCCCCGATGGTACAGATCTTCTGGGGGCCACATGCCCGATCGGGAGCAACACGCAAGTTTGAGGTCAAGGCAGTCGCTAAAGAGCCCTGCCCAAGCTGTCTGAAGCAAACGTGGGAGGCTTATATCTTTCAAGAATTCGGGAGAACTTTCAAGGCAAGTACATATCTATTGACCAATCTATCATATACGATCGCTCTGTTCACACGGGGTATTCCTCCCTGGCTTATACTGAGAGTGTTCCAGGCCTCCTCCGTAAACTCCGTGCGTGAATGACCCATGCATGGGAATATGACATCAAGGAGTGAATTTCAACCCTCCCGAACCGCATCAAAGACGGGTAGGTTCGTGAGACGAAAAGTGGTGCTGACGACTAGGGGGGGTCAAAATGCGTGATATTTTTGCAATTGACGAAAGGAGCAAAGACTTTTTGTGCAAAAACGTAACCTCAAGCCCACCCGAAAAGTAGGCCGAACGATTCATTCCCACGCTTCCAGGACAAACGTGCAAAGTTATGTTACCATGATTGGCGATAGTGATAAACAGAGAATAGGAGCACGTTCATGAACGGGGCCTCCTCTCAGGACTCAGGAGAATTGATGATACAATACAGCGTTTGAAGGTGCACACGACCCATAAATGCCTCTATCTCACTTCAAAATGGCTCGACTACCGCTTCCTGCGAACCATCCTCTCTCTCTCTCTCTCTTCAGCTTACCTGGACGTGTTGAACGTCCCTTGCATCTATTGCCTTCCTTGATTTGGGTAACGCAGGGCACAGCGTCACTTGTTCGTGTTTCTGAGAACAGACCGAGGTGAGATAACGCCTAGTTAGACGTCTTACGTGTTATTGTTTGCCCAACCGCGCCCATCTAGTTGAACATCTGTCCGAGACAATCATGACTAACAAAGGGGTTTTTGAGTTGGTAACCCAACCTCGCTATTCCCGCGTCAGACGCGTCGATAAACAGCACAACCTCAGCGAAGAAGCCGGTTCATCAAATCCGGCGAAAAGAGGGATGCCTAGTGGCCGAGACACCGGCGATACGGGCACAGTATCCGATTCGGATGACTTCGACGATGAAGAAGAGGACAATGGATCGATCTACGAAGAACCCTCATCGATCCATGATTCAATTCCGTCGTCCCGCTCCCGAATTTCCCAACAAAATTCTTCTCAACACGAAGATACAGAGGGAAGTGCGCACGCCACACTCACTGCACCCTCCAAACCTAGACGTGGTCGTCGTCCCACTCATCTGTCCGCTGCGAGCCGTAATGCCAGGGACATTGCTCGTAAGACAAACCATTCTCGTATTGAGAAACGTCGCCGCGAAAAGATAAACGATGTTCTTGATGTCCTCCGAGGTCTTGTCCCATCTCTGCCGTCATCGGGTACGGATCCCCAAGAGGGTCACGGTGAAACGGAGGTAGAGGACGGTGAGGATGAAGGCCGAAAGGGCAGAAAGAGGAGGAAATCAAACTCGTGCGACTCGAAACCTAGCGCTAAAAAAGAAAAAGGAGGGGAATTCAAGTTGGACGTTCTGGAGCGCACGTTAAATTTCGTTCAACATCTCATGTCCACCGTCCAGGTACTCGAGGCGGAAAAGCAAGAGTGGCTCGGCCGAATTCCCTCCACCCACATACCTTCGCAATCGGGCAATAATCCCGCTACTTGTACGTCGTGTGGGCGGGGTCCCCCCGTCAGTGGGCCTCCCGAATCTTCACGCGAACCGGCTAGAGGGCAAACGTTTACTCCGCCCATTCCGGCCCATCCACCCGGAACCATGTCGAAGCGCAAGCGCGAACGTGATCGTGTCTCTACTCCGCCTCCCACCTCGCCGATCGTTCCCCCCCGGCTACCTTCTTCAGAATCGTCATTCCAACACCCTCGCCACCACGCTGAAGTATCCAACTCTCGAATCACGTCTTCACCTCAATTATTTGTCCCACCAGAGACGAAGCGTCCAAAGCTCCCCTCTATCTCGTCGATCCTAAACTCAACTGACGAATCCCCAATCTTCCAACTCCCTTCTCCTCCTTCTCCCTATGCGTTTGAACACACTTCACACTTTTCTAAAACACCCTCCTCTACTGCAGTTAAGAAAGGACTCGGTGGAGGACCAACGGGCCCATTCATTACCGGCGCTTCTCGCTACGCATCTGCAACACCGCCGGTTCTTCCTTCGCCCGCTACAACTCAGATAGATCCCACTTCTCCACTTCCTTTCACGACGTTAACCTCCCCTTCCATACCTTTGATTCCCCACTCGCAGCCTGCCACCCAACAAACACCATCAACAATGACGACGGCCACTTTGAGTTATTCTTCAAGTTCTATGTCTCAAGCGCCCTCGCGTGAACGAGGATTCCCACTATCATCAGGCACTCAACCAATCAATTTTAATGTTAACCATGAATCTCATGACGACGAGACCGTCGCTATCGCAAGTATGTTGATGCAAATTTCTTCGAGGAAGAAGCATGGCACGAGTGACAGACCGTCCTCGTCGTCTCCGTCTTCCGCGTCGTCTCCCGCGACTACGAATCAGACGCATCACCCTCACACCCCAAGTTCGATATTGGGTTTGTAACAAAATGTTTACAAACGGTTGGAATTTGCGTTGGTTACCCCAATTGCATGCACACGTTCGTCTCCAACAGTGGTTACCCTCAAGTTAGATTTTTTCGAATTTCGAATTCAAAAAGGAACCACCTGATTCTGTTATCTTTGTTGCCCTCCTTTTCATGTTGTTGTTGTTGTTGTTTTTTTGTTAATCTTTCGGTTTGCAGAGCATGCAGGTGATGCGCAAGCGCAAGCGCACGTTGCACGAGATTTCATGCACACATGAGCTTCCCGTTGCAGCAGGCGTAATATTAATTCTGTGTTCGAATTGTACGTTACAACGTGCCATTCTATGGCCGGGACACCAGAAACAACTGAGGCAGCTAATATAAGCTCAGTTGACGTTGAAGTATGGGTTTTATCTCTGTTTATAATTGGCCCAGGTTATCGCCCAAGAAAATTATTCTTGCTCGGATGAGCTAGTAACTCGTTGCACTTTGATTGTGAGTAACCTATGCTTATGAATGGCTTTAATGGGCCGATGATGATGGTATTGGTAATCTGCTCATTGCAACCGGCCCCACATTCTGCGGGATCGAGTGCTCCTGGTGGTGGAGCGAGAAACTTCCCCAGGATGCTTTTGTTGAAGCGCCGATATATCTAGTACGCTACATAACATTATCGACCTTCGTTTCAACATTGTCGCTGTTCTTATCCACAAATCGTAAAAGTAGCCATCTTGTGAGATAGCGGTCCAGTACGGATTCAAGCCGTATCTCCGCGACGCGCCTCTTCATCTCCGCGCTGTACATCATCCTCAGCCACGCGTCGGTGCCATTGTTACTGTGTTCACATCCGGTCTTATACGCATAAGAGGAGACTGAAACTCATTTCGGCGCGGTACCAGCATGGCCAACTTACCTGAGCTGACGTCTGGGGCAATCAAAGAGTTGACGCGTTCTGATGGCAACTCCTCGCCAAACTTCCAACATCGTCTTCAACTCCTTTCTTTCAAGTCACTGGGTACGCAGAATGCAAATGCGACTAACCGGTATCGGTGAGCAGTGCCATCTAATGCTTAGGGTTACACTTGCAGCTGACGGATTCACGAAAAGCCTCATAGTTTCAGACGGAGAGCATTATCACCAGGCGATGCTAGGCTCCCAATTAAACTATCTTCTTGAGCAAAACATCCTAGAGAAGAACTCTGTTTTCACGCTCGTGCAGTGCGTGAACCACGCCATAATGAATAAGCGGTGAGCCATCCGATCGATCATTTTCCCATTGTCGATCTATTCGTTACGATCTCTCAAACTTCCGTTCCCCAGGCTGTTGATAGTTTTGGAAATCAATGAAACTGACGTTCACCACTTTGGCGAACGCATTGGATCCCCGACTCCACTGGACCAAAAACCAGTGGTGAACGTCCTTGCTGCCCCCAATGCCCACTCCCGGTTCCAGCACCGTTGAAACCTGTACTTCTCGCAATCTTCCCTTCGACAGCCCTCGTCCGTTCGAAGTTAATTGGGGATAAATTATGCCGGTGTGGTGTTGTTGTTGTTCTGCTATACGCACCGTCGCACCCGCATCTACGCGAGAATAGACAACGAAGTACTATTGTATGTAGTGATGCGCTGTCGTTCTTGACATTTCATTATAATCCCCGATTGTTACGCAATGCGCTATTAATGCGAGAGGATGCGCCCAGAAGAGACCAACCCTATATACGCACGTACGTACACCCTTATCGCTAGCTTGGCAAAGCCTATATGTAAATATTTGATCTGATTTTGCGATCTGTCAGACGACCAGGACTAAACAAATTCCTAAGCGCAGAGGCATTTTGATGGAGAGGTCCATTAATGGCTCAGGGAGGCGAATCATAGTACAGTTATCATCAAATTTTTGCAACAACAGGTCGTTCGTACGGAATAGGGAATTCGTGAGAGTCCGAGTTGGGAGTTTTCCCGACTCAAGAAATGAAAAAAAGAAAAAAGTCCATCGTTTCGAATAGGAGAGGGAGAAAAGCACGCCTAAAGAATCACACAATTCGCTTATGTAACTTATTCACCAGAAACACGGTTTGCATGTGCGCGGGCGCGAGCGACCTCATGCCGTTCGACTTCATCGTCCGAAAGTCTGATTTGGCCCTCATTCGACTTCTTGAACCTTTCCCAAAGTATGACGGCGATGAGAATTACTGGATACAGAATGACGAATATTAGATTAGCAACCTAAAAAGCACCATTCCCATGTCAATAAATTGCAATGATAGGTCATGGAGGTCTTACCCGAACGTTGGAGGCCTTAGGCTTGTGAATGAGCTGCGCAATTTCGATCAAAGTCCCTGCTACAGTCCATACAAAGTCCCTACGAAGCGCCACTTCAACTAAACCCGCGGTGTTGAAACTGACGATGAACGCTACAGCGTGCCAGCTAAAAGCATCGTAATCCTGTTCTCGGTTCTTGTCACGGTACCATCCTAGTATGACGAACAGTGTTTGAGGAAAGGTTTGCAAGAAAGTTAGGATGAGAAGGAGTTTGAGTGGCGCGTGAATGAAGACAATGTCGAAAGGGCGAGACTGATGAGAGGGGTACATGTAGAGGGTGATTTGGATCCAGATCAAAAATGCTAGAGAGATAGAAACAAGGACGAGTGAGACTAAGAACCATTGGAGGGTGAAGGCGACTATGTTTGCTGCCATGACCCATTGGAGGATGACAAGGCGGATACCAACGCCGTGAACAGCTGTTTCCTAGCAATTTAATGAGAATAATGTCCGTAGTGAGTCTGGAGTGCTTACTCTCGTTTCCCTTTTCTTCGTCATCATCAGCAATATACAATATCCTATCAACAGCACGAACACCATTAAAGCATACGTCGAAAGCAAGGAGAACGACCCATTGAGTGGCGTCGGATAAGAATTGGATATGTCCCTTAATGATGGATTAATTGCGAGAGAGCATACGACAGCGGTAGCTAGGTTCACAAGCACTGAAGTGGGAGTGAGTGCTTGGAGCCGGACATGCCGCAGTACAAGCCGTAGTTCGGGATCAGAGCTGGAGGGACTTGACTCAGCATAATAACTTCCTGAGTTGTCCAACCCACCTATCGAATGGTAAAGACATGTTCAAAGTCGAAAAGGACGACTTCAAGGGGCAAGCACGGTTTAAATCCTTTGGACCATTGGAGTAACAACGATGACGACAACAGCAATTCAAATGACCTCTCGGAAGCAAACTCCCCGCACCCTTTAGACTCACATCACCTGCCGTATTTCCACCGTCCCCAACACCATGGCATCGCAACAACCAACACGAAAGGCGACACTCTCGCTATACAGAGGAATGATCCGGGCTTCACGCTCGTTCGCATCATACAACTTTCGGCTCTATTTCATTCGAAACACTCGCGCCAAATTCAGACTAGCGGCGGTCGAGTCCGATCCTGCACGGACAAAAATGGCTTACGATGAGCTTTCAAGAGAGCTTGCGGTGCTGAAGAGAGCGGCTGTTGTCAATCGGCTATTCGAAGGGCCAAAGCTGATCATTGAAAAGCCCAAGGTCATTATTGGTGGCGGGGGGGCCGGTATGGAAGCCAGTGCTGGTGGTGGGGTCGGCCAGTCACATAGGTCAGTGGTTTGGAAAGATTCGTTTCGTTTCGACGGTCGGCTAAAGGGTTTCGTTAGGCGGCAGTAGGTCTAGCCAAAACATTGCACACTTTCGGGCTCTCCCTATAGTTGCTCTCGACACCTCATATTCATCACTCCCCTTTAAGTTCACCTGTACATGCTACGGGCTTTGGTCACCCGTATATCTTATTTGTGCTGGATTGCAATGGTTCTGAATGGGTTGTTGTTTTAATGAAAAAGCATGCATCAAACATAGGCGAAATGCTCACAAGCGACCATCCAGGGAATACCGCTAACGTCGCATTATTTCAGCTGACGTACCACCAGCCAGCTGCGCGAATTTGGCACAAATAACGCTCAAGGGTAAAGTGATGGTGGGAATATAATCCAAGGTCGGAGAGAAGTGCCGGAACCAACTGCAATCCACGTGACCTTTTTAAACCATAACTGTCTAGTTCTAGTCATCATCATCAAGCAAACATGGGAAAAGGTGCTTAAACCTCCGTCACCTCTGTTTCCCCCTACCTCTATACCAAATGCCAAGCTAACTGTCCGATCCTGTCTTATTGTTAACTCTCATTCACCTGATTAGTGCACGGATCCCTCGCTCGTGCGGGTAAAGTCAAATCACAAACTCCCAAGGTTGAGAAGCAGGAGAAGAAGAAGGCCTTGAAAGGTCGTGCAAGAAAGCGTATGCTTTACAATCGTCGGTGAGCAACCCATAGCTGTCTATCCATCGTAAATCACAATCGCGGCTTACATATGATTCAACATCCCACAGTTTCGTGAGTGTTGCTGCCACAACTGTCGGTGGCAAGCGAAAGATGTGAGTTAACTTGTCATGTTATCTCTCCATTTGCTTCCACTTCTTTATCCTGGTTCCTGGCTCGCCATCATGCTCATCTTGAATGATGATCGAATGCATAGTTCACTCTGAACGTATATGTAGACCAACAATCTTTTTAGTCTTTCGCTCCTATCTGACTCCTGATGGCATCGGCGTTACATCCCACTTTTATTTCTCTATCATCTTTTTCGTTCATACTTTTGAGTGGGATGAAATTGCTGACTGTTTGCTTTGCTTGCCAACAGGAACTCCAACGCGAAGTAAATCAACACCCTATCCTCTTGTTGATTGTATTACGTATTTCCTTCGCTTCAACTCATTAATACCAAACCTGCCTCTTTCGCCTCCGCATTTGCGCTTGGTTTCGAGCCCGAGCTTCGCGCCACTTCACTCTGACCCTATGCCATAACCAACACTTCACCTGCTCGTGCTGCCAGAACCTTTATCTACTCCGTATGGTGTCTTTTGCTGCCATGATATATACATGTGTATGCCTCGGCGAATATGACAACCTGAGCATTGCCAGAATCCCACCCACACGACTCACTTGCTGGATCCGGAGATATTATATCGATGGTTTGAATTGTAAAAACAAATGAGTTGATGCTCAGCTCAGCACGTTCTCAAGACCGATAGAGGGTGATGGGTAACTTTTGCTTGCTATGCTTGAAAATACTGGACATCATGCCGATACAGAGAACATAACAGCTGTTCAGTGAACAGCAAAGGGCGACGAGCATGCAACTCGCCCTAGCTAAGGCAGTTCAGAGCATCGCCCGACTCCATCCTGGACGGAAATATAGAGTTTTGGTCGGATAAAATTATAGAACCAATAATCCACTCACCCGCCACAGAGCTTTCACTTCAGGAATACATCTCGATAGTGGAGGGTAATGGTATCAAATTTCACGTGGCTGGCGTAAGATTCGGAAAGTAGATGCAGCCCCCAGTTATTTCCGTGCATGGCCAACCACATTTTGTACCACCACCTTACTCGACCTCGAGGGTTGGCAATGGCATAAGGGAATCATTATACCAAAAAACTTGCTGTCCTATTTCTTGGAAACCAAACTAGGGACAATAAAAACATCCCCAGCACTGACCACGTCACATTCCCGAAGACCATATCACGATGAAGAACTAATATTCCAAGAAGTTTGACCGCCACGCTTGAATGAGGGGGGGGATTTTCATTTCCATTAGTTGCTCTTTTGCAATCCCGCCGCTGCATCCAGATGTCTCTTGAGAACGGAACCACTACAAGCCCTAAGCATTGCCCAGACCTGTAGAAAAGTCTACACAGGGTGACGCACACAAATGGAACTGTTAAGCTCACAAGTAGCCATGTCATCGTTGCAAACGTTCCCCGGTAAAGCCAGCCGGATGGGTTGGATTTAGTGCGACGACCCAACGTGCATAATCGGAGGCCTCCATGATGCTTTCCATTTCTACACCCACATGAGGCGGCGACGGGGCAATGTATCAGAAAGTTCGAAGCGCTCGGCATGATAACCATTACGTACTTCCAAACCGTTCCTGTTGAGATCATCGATGATTTGACAGCGGAAATCTGTTCCGTAAAAGTGATGAAGATGCTGCGCCACACAGCTGCTGCGGTCATGCCTGGGTTTCAAGGGTTGCTTCATCACACGAAGAATGTTGGATCTGACAACGCCGGTGATGACCTATCCGTTGATAAGTCGGAAAGGCCTTCGCTGCCAAGGTGAACATCGACGATACGAACGGTTGTCATGTTCACCCTATCAAGACAATTGTGAATGGGGATGGAGAATGACACTAGAAGATTGAAAACTTGCCCCAATAGTTCCAATTCGAGCTTTAAAGTGTCACCATAATCAAGGTAGCGCCGTCTGTTCACTCTCGAACTGAGCAACATTTTGGTCGTCAAGAGGAGAGAAAGTTAGGGACTTTCGTCCCGAAGTGTAAGCACCTTTAAAACCAAGTAGCTCTGACCCTGCTCCATTATAACAGAGGCTGCGCACGGGATCAAGCCAAGAATGCTCCCTATATTTAATATTGTTCCCCTAGCTTCCTAGATGTGGTATTTTTCGTTGAGCACTGAGTGCCATTCACCCACAATTAAGAGTGCAGAAAAACCATCCTCATGACCCCGATCACGCTAACAGGCTCCTCCACGCGGTCCATGTCAACATCAATGGCAGGGCAACGGTACGCTGGAAAAATTGCGCTCAAAGTGGTTTAAGATCCCTGGGAGTATTGGTGCGCACCTAGTCCTCTAAACGTTGGGGTTGCACCGAATTAACCGTAGTGAACAAAAACAAACAACTACGCATTATTAACTAAGCCTTCCTCCGGTGACAATGCTTTTCGCGGCCAAGATAGAGTCTTGCTTCGTGACAAAAAGTCTCGATTCCGAGGTCATCTAGGCCGGGAGCAGTGGCAAATACGTGGAATCCTGAGGAAAGATTGTTTGAGTCACTACCTGCTTGAATACGGGCAGTTCCAAGGCACGCCTTGTACTCCTTTGCGAGTTCGAAACCTATTTCCTCCGGATGAACAACTGAAAGATTTCCCTGCGGCTTGAGCTTCAGGCAAAGTTTCCTCACTAGCACTCATTCGGTTATGAGGACCCCCTCGTCGGAACAACCGTACCTACGGAATTCACCGGGGCGCTAAGAGGGTTGCGCTATCGACATGAGCATAATTATGTCGTCCGCGAGGTTACCTGAAGCTCTGCTCAGAAGCACTGTTGTAACTTTCAGATATCAGGAACCTAGAATCCCCGACCCGTCACTCTCATTTAAAAAAGATATGATTGAAAGCTTAGGCTGGTAACCTGCCTGGCTGACTACCAAGGTACGGATACAAACGACCTTCGTAATTTCCATGCGCTTCGACACTTCAGGAATAATCCTGAAATGGAAAATCAGGGAGGGGACGACATGGGAGATGCATATGAAAGGTGGACCCTAGCAGGTTATAATTGTTTTTTGTCCTCCGAAGCGTCCAACCGCTCCTGCAGTTTGTTGAAGCCATAAAAGTTAGCAGCCAGGTTTATCTGAAGTGAACCATCATCATGTTAGCGCACGGGTAGTTGAACCGCCACTGCTCACCAAGAACTGCTTAGGCAAGAGCCACTCCTGTTTTTTGAAGGAACAAGTCAGATACCACATGTGTCGACTGGACTCTGAGTGCGTACAAAAAGCCACAATCTTGTGGAATAAACACCCTTGTATAACCGGGCTGGAACATGATCCTTCGTTGTCTGTTCAACGAACCATTTCGCATAGTCTGACGTCTCGGTATACTCCTTCATGCCTGAGCGAACAATACATGGCTATTAGGGATCATGCATGATGGGGTTCAAGGACCTACTGGCTTTGCCCTTCCTGTTTGCGATATATTGATCATTGATCATTTGGTAAAGGGAATCTGGAGGATTCGGCATGATATGCACTGGCTGGGACATAAACCACTCTCCCCGACATTTACTTACCAGGCTTCAAGTCTGGGTCTTTGTCTTCGTATATGTTTGATTTGACACTCCCGGTGACAACCTTATCACAATAACGGTCAGAGTCCGACGTCCAAAGCCAAGTATACGCACTGCCGTGGCACTGACACTATGAAAAGAATGGTGTTAATCAGTAATGTGACGTTCGAGGAGTGCATTCGCATACCCAAAGGGGGCGAGCTCCATCCGCAATATGTCGGTGTATTGATGCAAAGCGGCCTGTACGGACATTGGGGTATTGTTAGATTCGCGGCAAAATTAGCTCTCGGGATTATGGCGTACCTTTGCCGAGCCATACGCCGCAGTGAAACCCATTCTGTCGATGTTGAGAATGAGCAAACATGCAATAACATGAAGCGGAGAAACGCACGGGAAAATGCCAGCGACGCTTCCAAGATTCAGAATCTTCCCTTTAGCTTTCTGATATTTGGATTGGAAAATACGTCAATATGCTATTCCCAGAATTGGCGCCACTGACTTACTATCAAGAGAGGCGTAAACTCGTTAACCATCCTCATAACTCCGAAGACGTTGACATCGTACATTCGCTGGGCGTGCTCGAGGTCGATTTCAACGGCGGGATAGCAGCATGCTGCCAATCATAAATCCTTCCAATCGATGCGTAGGATGTGTATGACTTACGCTGGCCGCTGTTCCATATTTGAGTCGATACTTTGTTTGTCAAAAATCACTCACACTCACGCATTATTAACCAAAATGTGCAATTTCCCATCGTTCCTTTCCGACACGACTTCTTTCGCTGCACGTACAGACTCGTTTTTCGTTACGTCTAGCGACAGCGTCTCAATCCCAAGTTCTGACAATCCTTTCATGGAATCGATATTTCTGGCAGTGGCAAAGACGATATAGCCTAGGGAGCGGCAACCATAACAGTCAGAAACAGAATGAAACTGTGTTACGCATCCTCACCGTTCCTCCTGTATTCCTTTGCCAATTCATACCCAATGCCACCAACGGAGCATCTGACCAGCAGCTGTCTAAACGTGAAATGTCAGAGTTTTGGCTTAATAAGTTGCTCACCCGGTGATTAGGACAGATAGCCCAGACATTTTGAGCAAGCAAAGGCTGATTGATATTCACAGTGTTAATGAGTTGTAGATGGGGCTGAATTAGCGAGCGCGAACTGAGGTGCAGGGAGAGGTTGGTGGTGATGGAAAGTTCGAGGGCTCCGCTGATCCCGGAAACCGCCAGGGCTGTGTGATACAAACCCTTCATGCGTCCAGTGCTCCGGGCAATCCATTTATTGTTGCCTCGGCTTACTTCTCGGCTCCGAACGCATGATTATGTATGATTGTCTTCGATGCATGAAACGAGGAAAGCAAACATCGAACCAAGATCCGGGGGAAAAACGTGGGCCCCTTTGCTTACGTGTTCTTCTTCACGTGTCTTCCACACGTCACTACTTTCCCCTATGCTTACAACTTCTTTCCATGGTTGCCTTATCATACTAGATTGCTCGCCTTGCTTTGCAAAAAAAAACCTGCACTGCATGCATGTATTGAAGAACGGATTGCATTTCAAGAACTGGCTTTGCATGTACAGCGCAGAGCGAACATACAGTGATCATTGTTGTGTAGTACATGGACGCCACCGGGCCTGAGTGAGGCGAGTGAAGATCGTGTGAAAGCAGTGGGGAAAGGCTTTGTCAATCAAGTTGCTTGCATGAGAATCTAAATTAGGGGTAGAAGTTAGAACACGATTGATGTGCACAATGTGCCATTGCCGCAGGGTCTCCGAGTGGCCGTTCACCACATACACGAGGGAGTTGGGTTTAAGCATCGGAGGGTCCTGCTTGAGATATCTGGCCTCTTTCAGCGCTCGGACTTCACAAGACTGTGATACCGTTCAGAAGAATACTTGCGCGAGGTAATGGGACATACAGGAGGACGGAAGGATCCAGTTACTGGAAGAATCGATCTCCGATCCCGGAGACAAGTTGACTCCAGTGATGTCCAAGTTCACAATATTCACGGGAGGCTGCATTGTGTCAGCGGGTGGGTGATTAGATAGCGTGAGTGACGTCACGGTGTGAATCGGATTGGCTCGTACAAGTCATTAATTTGAGAACGCTCTGTTTTATATTCTGTCACTGACGAGATCCACGCTCGTAGTTTGGGAAGAAAAGAGAAGAGTGGCAGAAAGGAAAGAAGGAAGAACAAAAACTGCGGCACTCAGGATTCCCATGTAGTCCCCTACCATGGTACTAACTGAGCGGTACTCGGCTTAACTTCGCGGATCAGACGGGATGCGGTGCTTTCCGAGTCCTATGGCCGCAGATAGCCTAATACATATTCCCACATCTGATGAATATCTATGCTGCTGGGGGGGGGTTTGACAGACAAAGCAAATGGATTGAAAGATCTCCCCAACTGAATCCTAACCCTCCGTCTCAGCTGTCCCGAGGACCGCACCAACGCTAACGACGGACTGCCACTAGAGGTATTGCTATTCATCAGACGTGGGAATACGGGCTATGCCATCTGCGGCCATAGGACTCGGAAAGCACCGCATCCCGTCTGATCTGCGAAGTTAAGCCGAGTACCGCTCAGTTAGTACCATGGTAGGGGACTACATGGGAATCCTGAGTGCCGCAGTTTTTGTTCTTCCTTCTTTCCTTTCTGCCACTCTTCTCTTTTCTTCCCAAACCACGAGCGTGGATCTCGTCAGTGACAGATAAAACAGAGCGTTCTCAAATTAATGACTTGTACGAGCCAATCTGATCGCATATGATATACATATATCTATCTTAAGTTTCTAATGGGGAATCGTAAGTCGTGTATGGCCCTGGCAAACTGGCATGGTAGGTCAGGTCGTCCAATGCTAAGTTTTGCTCTCATCGTTTACTTTCTCATGTACTTACTTCACTTCCCATTTCCCACATCAATATAGCTTTGTCTCCCTTCACCATATGACTGTTTTTCCTCTATTCAACTTCCACGCCCCCCACGCATCTTTTCCATCCATTTTCTTTTAGTATTACTGCGTAGTCCAGTTAACCTTTCGTCTTCCTTCTCCAACACTTCGCATGGCGCCGTTGTGTGGATTGCGGTTTGGAGAATTAATATCGGGAAACGACCTGGACAAATCGTGAATGAAAAGGTCGCGTTCAAAACTTGTGGAATCAGTTTCATTTCAAGCGGAGTCACTCCGCTGAACGAACCGGTTTGTCTTCCCCCAGAAAAAAAATTGTGTAAGTGTTCTAGCATTCTTTAGCGTTCTCGTGACTCAGATCTTGGCGTCTAGAAAGAATGTAGTCGGGTTTACTACCTGTCCACGCCTTTTTTCTTACGGTTCACCAGGGTGGCGTTACTCCAAATGTGGATTGAGAGATTTTCGTTTACAAAGAGTTGGCTCGGCACAAGATGCTGAGCGTGCCTCTCTTCGTGTAGTTCAACACCGTGTTATATGTCACCTTTCCCTGTGAAGAAAGGAAATAGTTGCAGCGAAGAAAAGAGTTCAGTTTGTTCATTGCTGTGCAGGTTGCATGAGCGCGGAACCCACCTTCTAGTTAGGGAGGCATGTATAATTGGCCCCTTCCTCCAGGACTGTTAAAGGCTGAGACGAAGGATGTTTGCGCAGAATTGACGTTCCAGAGAACTAATGGCTTCGCTGGGTTGGCATCATTAATTTCCACGAAATGGGCGACCGTTACTTTATGAATAGTTAATGGGACTCTGAGTGCGTCCTCTTGGGTTCTTCAGGCCAGGTCGAGACCATACAGGCTGAGGGACCCACCAGAAAAGATGTTCCTGGTTGCTGTTATCGTGTTCTGATAGACCGTCATTGAAGTACTCCTGAGCAGTGAGGCTATAAAAATAATTGAGCCATGGTTGCCACGTGAAAAACACGACAGCTTATGATCGGGAGTGGCGCTTACTTGGGAGATACCACGATCACCCACCTAGTAGTATATACTTGGCCACCCAAGCTTTGAAACCCGGGTTGTCCATTCTGGACTTCCGACAGCCAGAGCGGGCGATCCACTTAAAGTGCAACAACCCCGCATGCCGGCGCATTTGCTTACCCGGACCGCGTATGATCCACTGCTACATGATGCCAATCAACAGAAAACGTCTCTAAACTACGGAAAAACACGTACATCTTGGCTTCATAGCGGTTTCAGGGTCGAGGGACTAATGATTACTTAGTCGCATAAGCTGTGAATGTCGAAGAGGAGGTCATGATTTTCCAGGCGATAGCACTAGAAAAATAGCATCCGCCGTAGTGTTGAAATTTCGTCCGTGACCCATCTTTGGTCAGTATCAAGCTCCCCATCCTTGTTAACTGTCATAGAAAATAAATCATGGGTAGCATACCATAGGGACACGGTCCCCACAATTCAGGAGGCGCGAGCATTGTGTTATTTCCGACTTTCGGGCAACCACTACGGGGGACTAATTGTGGAAAGCAGGATAATATCTAAGTATCGACCATGATGCGTAATTGGGCATCTCGATGCTCGACGGAAGGTCTTCTTTGGTCGTGGCGACTTTAGCGCGTGGTCGGACGAGTGAGTCTGGGTTCGCGAGAGAAAGCATCGGGCGCATACACCAGGGCCCTTGTGCATTGAGCTCTACCGCAATTGAATCCTGCGCGAGGACTCCATTCCACTACAAGTCCACTGGGACTTTGAAGTTCGCGCCGGCAAATTTGGTAGTGGTATCAGAAAGGAAAACGGCAAGAATATTCTAAAAGACTCGGAGGGCGTGTTGAAGAGAGGTGTTGAACCTCAGGTTAAGGGAGGGCGGGCGTTATTGTTGCGCGTGGCTGTACTTTCAAACAAGAACCGTCAGCCGTTTTTCAAAATTCAGTAAAATTGTAGGTGAGTCGTTTGTTGTGGCGGGGGTGGTAGCTGGATTTTGCGAGTTTCACAGCACATCGGGGCATCTGTGGTAGCGCGCATGACTGGATGATATTGCATGTATAGGATCTTCTGTTTGCGCCGAGGCCGAAGGAAGGCTCGGGCTCGATTCATTCAATAGATCGAAATCGCCTGCGATCCGCTTCAGCTGCAATGAAATATTTCTCTACTCGAGGGGGGGACCAGCATCTGTCGTTCGAAGAGGTTCGTCTCGTTGCTCTTGGTGTTGATCGGACTCAACATTAGCACCATACCAGACTGTCTTAACGGGACTAGCTCCCAATGGTGGGCTTTACATACCTTCCCAGATACCTGCCCTCCCGAAAGACTGGCAGACGTCGTGGGCCAATTACTCATTCCAGGATCTATCGCACGCGATTCTCTCCCTTTTTGTACCCATCACAGAAATTTCATCGGCCGAGTTGCGATCCCTCATCGAGAGATCGTATTCGACGTTCAGGCATCCTGATGTCACACCTGTCAGGAAGTTGAGAGACAGAGAGTTTGTTCTCGAACTATGGCATGGTCCTACCTTCGCGTTCAAGGATGTCGCATTGCAACTACTTGGGAATCTGTTCGAGTTCTTCCTGAAACGCCGAAATAAAGGGAAAGCGGGGAGCAGTCATGAGACACTGACAGTCGTTGGAGCGACAAGTGGCGACACTGGAAGGTATATGCCGTATACTTCACTAAGCAAATGCATGGTTTATACTCGTCACTCAGCGCCGCAATCTACGGACTACGAGGGAAGTCTGACATATCGATTTTTATCCTCCATCCCAAAAATCGCGTCTCTCCAATCCAAGAAGCACAAATGACCACCGTCACAGACTCAAATGTGCACAATATTGCCGTCAAAGGAACCTTCGATGATTGCCAAGACATTGTCAAGGCACTCTTCGCCGACAAGGCTTTCAATGACAAGTACCATCTAGGTGCTGTAAACAGCATAAACTGGGCGAGGATTCTCGCACAAATTGTCTATTACTTCTTGGCGTATTTCCAGGCCACCAGACTTATCGGTGCCGGGGCCCGGCTACAATTCGTCGTACCCACTGGGAACTTTGGAGACGTCCTCGCGGGTTGGTACGCCAAGAGGATGGGTCTTCCGATGGAGAAGTTGGTTGTTGCGACGAACTCGAATGACATCCTCACCAGATTCTGGGCTACGGGGCGGTACGAGAAATCCGCAAGCTTTGAGCTTCAGCCATTGGATGGACGCCATTCACTTACGGAATCTGTGAGCGGTGATCCCGAGTCCAAGAGCGCCTCCGGTGTGAAAGAGACGCTCAGTCCGGCGATGGATATATTGGTCTCGTCCAATTTCGAACGACTACTTTGGTATCTTGCCCATGAAAGTTTGTCCGATGTAAGTGAGACCGAGAGGTCGGAAAATGCGTCCAAGATGGTGAGAGGATGGATGGACAATCTCAAGAACAATGGGAGGGCCGCGGTTCCCGCTCGAGTGTTGGAATTGGCCAGAAAGGAATTCTCCGCGGAGCGTGTTGATGATGATGAGGTAATGTTAATCCAACTTTCGCAGTCAGATAGCATCTTAATAACGCCTTAACAGATACTGGAAACAATTAGACTCTATTATGAAGCCAGAGATGGCTTCGTCAATGAGTCGTATATATCTGATCCCCATACGGCGGTGGGACTAGCTGCAGCCCGTCGTACAGCTCTTCAGAAGTGAGCGTCCTGTCGTTCCACAGAAATAACTAATCTCAATACTTCTTTCAGCTCACCAGGCGTCCATCAAGTGATCCTCTCAACTGCACACCCGGCCAAGTTCTCGGAGGCAGTAACAAAAGCACTTTCTTCGAACCCTTCACTTGACTTTGACCAGGATGTCTTGCCATCGCAATTCAAGGGTTTATTGGAGAAGGAGCGCAGGGTGATCGACGTTGAAGAACCAAGCGTAGAGAAGGTACGAGTTGTCATTTCCAGGACGTTGGGATACGGTGTCGGAAAATAGATACTAACGGGAAATGTGCGAGGGATATCTTGGGCCCAACTTGTTGAGTCCCTTGTAGGGCACAGTTGTTGATAGTCATTTTGGTTCACTCAGTTCATCCATCTTACGGATACGGGGGGCCGCGAGAACAAAACGATAGCTATAATTATAGCATATGGCACTAAATGAAGCCTCACGACGTAGAGGGGCTAGCAGGAAGCTGAGGCTGGAGAATAAAGCGAGGCACATAAGCGGAGATGATGGCGCCAATTGCGAATCTATTTTGCACCCGCGTCAGTGACAGGAGACCATGAAGCAAGAAGGGAGGACAGCCCACATCATCCCTTGGACTGAATTGCCGCCATCCTTGGTGCGCAGAGGATGAGAATTCAGATAACCCCAAAGCCCCACGGCCAAAGTGGTCCATGCAACGATACTCAAAGCAATGTCAAAAAAAAAGCGACACAAGCAGGAATGAAGGCCTACGGGCTTCTCGTCATCATAGTAACGCCGCCGAGCAGCATAGATGATGATCCCAAACCATCTGATCGTCGGGACACACGTGAGGGACGGTCATTCTCAAGACTTGACCAGACGTTGAACCGACTGACCAACTTGAAATTGCTCCCATGACTCGGGGCGCACTATCTTCTCCTCCAGTGAGGCGTCTCTGGGGTCGTCATTCTTTAGAGACCGCGACATTGTATTAGTCCTAAGTATCTTACATAATCAGCAGCCATCGTAGCAGATCGCACTTTCTCGCAGCCCGGGCATCGTTCGAGGCATCACACACTCATTAATCCACAGAATGTCTCCCGTCGCAGACCAGAGACCCGCCGCTCTTTCATGTTCATATCCTTCCAACAACTTAATGTCACATTCCACTCTTGACCATGATCGTCTTAACCGCAAACACACTCTCCTAGCGTCATCCGTATCATCCTCAAGTAGTATGAAGAGTGGCTTTAGTACGGCAAATAATGTCTGGGGCGCTCTGGCGTCGAAGGCACAAACATTCTTCTTGAAGACCGGCAGATTCACAATCAGAGGAAACTCCACGGGCAAGAGAATCAAGCCCATCACAAAGCTAGCGTGCGTGTTTCACGCGTTATTCCAGAAAGGAATGGGCTAATGTATGGGGCTTCTCAGCACTATCTATGAGAAACGCGCCGACGAGGAGCACAAACCCTCAAAAGCGTCAACGCCATCCAATGTGGAGAGAGAGAAGTACATCACAAGCTTGCACTTGGAGTATGGTTAGACTCCGATCCTCCTCCCCTAGATTGATTCCTCGTGCTGTTCTTGCTGTGGACTACAAGAGTCCAGTTGGAATGTTCCATATGCCCAAGGCCATCGGTATTGTTCTCGAGTCAGAGCAACAAGCGGAGAGATGCGTGGCCCCTGTTCCTGTGAAATTCTCGTAAGATCGTGGCACGATCCAGTCCCGGACATTTTCCACACACTCATATGTCTCCCTCAGACCCCCTAAACCCAAACTTCCTACTCCACGTCGTGTCCCGGTGCCGTCCTTCGAGGAGGGCAAAGAAAATGCCCCGCCCTTGAGGGAATCTATTAATCTGTCTCCCGTCCCGGCGCATTCCATAGTAAAGCCTCCCACCGCAAGACCACAGAAGCAACGAGTGCGAACCACTCCGTCCTTCGTTAACCCGCAGACGTAGGTTGCCTAACCCCCCAGCGCTTTGAGCAGTTTTCCTGATTTTGGCCGGGTGCGTAGTCCTCCCAAACCGAAAGTGCGATTAAGCCCTCGAACAGCCCCACGAACAACTCGGTGAGTCGATATCGGCCTCCTTTTGGCGCCCTTTTGAACTCCCGATCTAGCGTTCCAAGCCGAGCCTCAGGTGGTGCTTCGAATATCCCCACAAAACGCATCACTAAGGGAGTTGTTCCATCTGGCCAAACCAAACAGTATGTACCTTCAGGCCTTGGTACAAAATTGCTCCTAAATTTTTAGAAGGGGTAAAGTTGCTACTATCTCGCAGTCAGCTAAACCGGGTCAGGCCAAATCGAATAGCATCTCCAAGTCTGTCCCAAAAGTCTCCACGGGTCCTCCCCGATGCAGAGAACCTTCCACACAACATCATGCTTTCTTCATCAGTCTTAAAGCGTCCGATGGTAGTGACGAGTCTTCGAATCTCGAGCCCCCTGCAGATAGATCTGATAATCGTAAGGCTTCTGGGATCCCCACTCTCAAATCATCCAATCCAAGAGCAGAACCGAGCCATTTCAGAAACAAACCGCGTTCGGTAACCCATTCTAGTTCTGTTCCCAAAAGGTATGGCATATCCATAGTGAGCGCTTTTTTTCCTCGATGAGAACTTCCCTGTTGTAAGGGATTCACGGAGCCGGATGCCCGCCTCGGCCGGCACTGTTTCCTTACCGACAAGGATGCCTGCTGGGAATGGAGCCTCAAATAGGGACGTCAAAGCCGAAGTATCTCGTACCCCATTTGTCCCGAAGGCTGGCCGGTGGGTTTCCGAATCAGTTGCGGGATTCTTCATTCACCGACCGCTTGTCTTGATGATTTTATAGTGAATCTGCAAGAGCTGCGTCCCGAGCTGCTGGGACAAGTTGGATGCCTCGCGCACCAGTTGCTAGATCCAAAGCTAGGAGGTATGGGGATCGTCATCGATGGTCTTCTCCTGCTGATTGATCCATTATGTCAGTCCCCGTGAGATCTCCGCCGTCAATGCAGCGTTCTCCACAAGAACCTCTACTGCAGCGATGACTACGTCTGTTCTTGGGTCCAAGTATGTATGTATGGTCGCCCTGTGGTGTCTGACCTCTCAGCATCATCCTTAGCTCGATTGGGGAAACTGCAGGATCTGACCCTGGAATATCTCGTCACGTCCAACAGGGCAGCCTTGATGTTCAAGATCTCCTGGCTAAGACCCTAGTTTCAAGCCCGGTATCCTCGAATACTGGCATTTTAATCATGGAGGAGCGTCCACCCTCTGATCTGGTGGGTGGTTGTATTTGTTCCTAAAGTACCCCCCTCATATCTTTCTGGGACAAGTTTGACCTATCAGTGGAGCTCTACTTGATTCCATATCATGAGCATCCCAAGGTATGTGGTGCCAACGTCTTTCGAACCAATTCATCAACTTCCCACAGGTTCAATCTCTACATCGATTATTTTCCCAAAGCAAAGCCCAGCACTCCCAGAGTTCTACCCCTCGTCGTTTCTCGCTTGCCTCGAGTGTCTCCTGGGGATTTATGACTTCTACGCCCAAAAGGGGAGGTGTCCTGGATTCTTTGGGTGGTGATACTCTTCGACCTGCGGCTGAGGGCATTTCGGGGTCTATATATGCTAAACATGCCAAGCGGTGGCTCACAGATGATGAATATGCTTCCGACGTGACATCAGATACCGCTAATAAATCAGAATCTACTCAAGGAAGCCCCCTCCCTTCTAGTGGTGCATGCTCTCCTCAGTTGTCTTCTCTTCCAACGATCTGTGGGATTTGCTCTAACTGCCTATATTCTAATCCGTGGTCGAATCCAGGTCCCCCGAAGCTGCAAACAGATGTCTTGCCTCTCACATGGTCACCTCTGTTGCATCGTAGAGGTTCTTTTGCTGTTCCTTTCCATAACCCTCCTGGAAAGTTACAATCGTTTCCTTCGCTATTGTCCAATAATGAGAGACTCTTTGGGGCACGTTCCAAGGGGGATCAAGTCTTACCAGAGGAGAAAGATACGTCTTTGGAGGCTGCTATTCGCGGTAGTGGTGGCCTTCTACCATTGGTCCAACCCAACTCATTGACAGATCTTGATTCAATGTTGTTGGGCGGAGCTTATGATGGACCGAATGAGAGTCTTTTCGAAGCAAGACTAGAATCTCTCATATCTCAGGAAGGGAGTTGGTACTCGGATGACTAGAGGTGTTTGCATGACGGCGATGATCACGACCGCATTGTATGGTGGTTACGAACCTGTTTCCACACGCTCAAGAATTAATGCCTTTGTATTGTCGACCCTATCTTCCGTTCCTTCTCGCGTGGGCTTGTCACGTTTGTGTTTAGCATTGTAGTTCATTTTGTTCATGTACTATGTAATTGTCGCTGTTGTAATATTGATTCGTGCCTTCTGGGACAGATTTACCCACTTAAGTCTTACACCCATTAACAGTATCACACGTTCACCCCTCATATCTGGGAATGAGAGCGAACTTTTCCCATGTGTCCATTTAAATCAATTAAGGTGAAGGCTAACGTAGTTGGATGGTTCTGCTCATGTACGTACGGGTTGAATGCACAAGAAAGCCGGTGACCCGGCGGACAGCCGCGATTCTACAGATAAACCCGCAGAGGGGATAGAGAAGTTGCGAAGGACAGTGAGTGTGTCAGTGGAATTGAGGCACGTCCGCCGTACCATTAAATCGTGACTCTGCAAAAGCAGAGCGTTACCAAATGTTCAGAATCCGATGTACATTACGGGATATGCTGACTGGCATTCTTTGTGGCGCATTGCGAGTTGTTTAAGCATATTAACGGTCTTAATCCCAGGCCCAGCCTTTGAACTCGTTGGAAATGGCCAAATTCGCCACAACTATTGGCTCCTGTTGTGATGGAACATATAGAATTGTGCGACCAACCCAGGTCGAATTACCCCTTCTGTGCTTACACGCCGATGAATGGTCTTAGCAACGTAGCTCGGTATCCAGTACCAAGAAAGGTAAAGTGCATGGCATGGCAGAATACTTAACGGGCAGGGCATATGTGTTCATACAGGATGCTCCTTCAATCTTGGTCGGCCGCACCTGACTATGAGAGTCGAAGAATAATGCTGCCCTTTGGTTTGCGAGACGACCCGGGCCAGGAGAAATTTTGAGAACGTCTGCATGCGCTCACACTCATGCATATTCAGATATCTGGAAACGTAATAAAGCTCCCCTTGCGAATGAAGTCCGCTGAATGTTCATGGTCGGCGCCAGTTTATGTAATAAACCGTCTCCGAAAGCCATTGAATGCCATATGAGTGTACCGATTAATTTGCGAGGACGTGAATTGCGCTGGGTCACGACTGCTCCAAATGATTCCATCGCAACCTGAGCACGGGCCAACCTAAACCGACTTTCGAAGTTACGCTTGTTCCAGATTTGGCATTATGGTGAGAAATTGATGTGAAATGCTGGTCTATTATAGAGTTCCCCACTCGCGACTTTGTCCTGGCGGGTTGAATATGATCGTCAGGGATGTCAGGAGGCCATAAGAGAAATCTGTCAATTTATGTGTGACAGATTCGGAACGAACCGAATAGACTCACCATTGATCATCTTTCTGAACGGTTGATGCGCACTGCTAACTGATGCAAACACGGACCAACACACTTATGCGGCCTAGTACGGTTGCTTTGATGAAACCAGAGCTCAAAGAAGCCGCAGCTGACCAAGTGGTCGTCCTCTTGCGCTCAGCTACCCAAAGATGTCCGCGATGTCGAGTGGCACCCAGCCATCGTGCATACCTAGATCGTCCAGTGGTTCAAGCCCTCGACTACTGACTCAGGCACCCCCATCACGGTTCTCCCACCCACATCTTGAAGGATCATTGTCCGGCCATCAAGCTAAGCTGTCCATTGATGCTGCTGTATCCAAACTTAGCCGTGCTGTTGGTCGGCCTCAAACGAGCAATTCTGGTGCCATCAATTTCCGTCTCAATGGGAGAGGTTTAGCGTCTCTTGTTATCATTGACTCAACGAACACCCTCATTGAAGGCGAGGGGTTTCAAGCGACGTTCGCAACTGCAGTGGATCGAAATCCCACAGCAGTTAACTGGCTAGATATTGAACAAACATCCGTTGGTGACGGAATATTTCAACCTATTGCAGTCCCTACCCCGTCCGCCATCCTCCTGCGTCGACCTACTCCGTCCTTGATCGAGTTCCATACTCCGTCTGGTTCTGTGTCGAGCAATATGCACCTGTTTACACACCATTCCAAACTTTCCGTAGGTTCGATGTTACCCACTTTGTGTGATTTTGTGACCGTTTTCCAACCCAGATGAATTCCGCCAGGCAGTATCTTAGCCGTCGAGGTCCGCCGGCCCCGATTACGATCCCTTCAACTGAAGCCTTGTGTAGTGTTGAGCCACAATTGCCCACCTTTTCAACTACCGCCCAAAGTGCGCATGCGCAGCTCCAAACCCGACCACCTGATGTTCTCAAGGACAACCCATCGGCAGAGGGCTCTGGCCTTCACTCACAAGAGACTCAGCGACATCTCAACTTGCTCACGGGCGATGACGATCTACAATCCTCGGATGAATTAACTGTCCTTGAGAAAGCTCTCGCACCGCAAACTCGACTAAGGGAACTGGCTGGAGCAGGTGATGTGCGATCAGGTCCAATTCGGAAGAATCGCAGTTTTCGGGCCGATAGTTCGAAGGATTGTGGTGCTGGTCAAAATCAACTTTGTCCACAGCAGGATAAGTTTGAGCCCTCTCAGGGTCGGGGACAGGTAGGTGTGGTGCCTGCACCGTTGTCCGACCCTTCAGCGATCGCCCCCCGTGAGACACTGGGAGATTCAGCATCCACTTCACAGGTGAGCTGAAAGGTTTCCTTGTAGTCGCGTATCCTGTATCGTCTGGCTGAAACAAACGTCACGGCAAGGACATGGCACTGCGGTCCTCATCTCCACATACATTCCATAGCACTGAGTCCACTCGGCGAAATGTTATTCCTGCTCCACGCCGTTTATCTCCAAGTTCCGAGTCCTCCACCGGACATCCGCTTGACCATCAGCCTGCGCCATTAGGTGGCGCTGCCCGCACCCTTGTCACAAGCGTTTCGTGGTCTCCAACGGTATCGCCTAAGTCCGTCATCCTACCTCTCCCTAAGAACGCTGGCTCTGCAGAAGCGATGAAGCACCTGGAAGTCCCCGGGTCCGCACTGTCGAATGCTATGTCTAGTGACAGTGTTCGCAGAGATACGTATATGCCCCAATCCAGCGACCTCTTGTTTTCTCCCGAATTCATTTTTTCTGCTTTGGGTGTTCCTGAACACGCTCAAACGACCAGCGCAATCCTTCCAGAGGACTACTCTGCTGTGGCCGGTGCGGAAAATGCTCAAACCATCCGAGGTCATGAGGATGCGATTGGCCTTGAACACGTCTCAGCGTATTGGATGACGAAAGAGGATTCAGCAACATTACCTTTATCACCACCGATACTAGCCGCCCCCAACTCTGGAGGGGGAACGAGACCTCGGTCCGCTTTTGACGGTGCTCAAATTATTACCTCCTTTGCTTCACCGACAAGTGGGAAGTACAGTCCATCCATGAATCCAAAGGGAAGCAACACTGAAAATTCATTGGGAACCAAAACTCCCGTTCTCCCCCAACGAGCTCTCACCGAGCGGTCTCTATCTTTGCCCATAGAAGACGCTAGTTTGACGCGTGTTCCCAAGAACAACACCGCTACTGTAGATGTTTCGGTCTCTATCTCCAACTCTGTCCAAGCCTCTCGCAGTGATGGTTCGAGTCGTTCAAGGGGTGCCGCGCAGGTTGCAGTGAATGCGTTGTCACGTAAGGGGTCCAAGGATAGGTTGGCGCTGATGGCGGATGCGAAGAGACTCTTTGGTGGGAACACCGAGTCCCTGAAGGTGGATACAATCAGGGATGGTGTCCCTGTCAGCGGGCGATCGAGCAGCACGTTTCCCTCAATGTTGAACATTGCGGAACGAGGGAACTTTTCTTTTCCAATTCCTCGATCCAAAGGACCCCCAAGCTGGAGTCCGAGCAGCTCTGCGATCCCCCCTCAATACTCCTCGGGATCGTCATCCTCGCAAGGTTCTTCCACCGCTTTCTCTCGACTCTCGCCAACCTCTCAAACTCCGCCTTCGTCGGAGAGCGGATTCCTCTCTTCTGCATTCCCTCGCCATAAACATACCGTATCTGAGCAAGCAGATCTGCCCCTCAAACCTATCTCCGTATCGTCTCGGGGTAGGAGTGCAAGTGATGCGGGACACTTGCCCTTGTCTCGGCACAAGACGTACACTGGTTCCTCGCTTCTGTCGATCGTCACTTCACCTCAGAAGCAGTCATTGAAAGATCTTGAAAAAGTGGTTGAGGATCCGGGTCAGGAAGGAAGCTTATCTCCCTCCTTTCGGGGGGATACAGAGAGGATGCGAAAGGGGCTCCAAACGTCAAGACAAGGGACTTCTGCTGAAAGTCAGCTCCGCGTGGCGCCACCCAAATCTTTCAGGATCGAGAGCACGCCGCTTCGCATCGACGTTTCCGCTCGCACGCTATCCAATCGTACACGAGAAGCTCAACCCAGCGCATTTCCCGTCACCCCCAGAGACTCCTTCCTCTTAATTTCATCTCGTGAGCAACCAGGCGATGACAACTTGCTGGGACACATTCCAACCCCCGTGATCACGATCCCCGCTCTGGACATTCCCGGTCCTAATGCTCGACCTCTAGCTCCACCCGTGGGTCCCCGAAGTCGACCAGCTAACCAGCCAACATTTCCAGACTCATCCATTCGTGCATTACGTTCCATGCAATCGGTGTCATCCGGCTCGCCTTCTGACGATGCAGGAGTACCTTTGTCAAGCCCCTCCCGGGAGGGATCTGACTCTTCTCCTTTGTTTGATGACATACCTATCAAATGGAAAGGTTTGACACTTGACCAGGCCAAATGGACATTCACCTCTAAGGAACTCCAGAGCCTGGTTGCCCAAGCGATTGTTCAGTCCACTGCTGTCACATCGATACGATTGCTGAGCGAGGAGGTATTGGAAAAAGAATTGCCTGTTGAACTGGAGCGCCTCGAGGACCTACGCGACAGCATCAAGAGTAGGTTGCAATATCAAATCCGCCGAAGAAATGTCATTCTCCGTTCTTTGCCCCTGCATGTTGACGGTCCTGATGTCAAAACGGCTCGACGTTTGATGTCAGACTTGACAAAGGTATCTCATTGGTTCGAAAAGTTGACATCGGAGCTATACACTGTCATGGACCAAATTGCGCAAATTCGGCAATTGCGTGATAATCATTTGGCTAGTGCCCTTATGATGGGTTTGCAGAAGATGAATGGGGCCTTTTTACGTGTATCCTCTGAGAATGAGCTGCTCTCTCAAACTTTGATTGACGTGGAGGCGGAGCGAGATGAAGGATGGGGGAAGGCGCTGGAGGTTGAACGGGAGTTGGACGAAATGCGAGGAAAGTTAGCTGTTCCACAGAGTGGCGATTCAGCCATTGACTGTGGTCCCAGTAGTGGTCATCGCAGCAGAGTGTCAGCTGCACGGAAGACTAGTTCCCGGGCCTCGAAAGCTAGTCTTCGCACCAATCACCCTCTTAGAAGTGCTCGTCCGTCCCACAGCGGCATGAAATTTGGTAGTCTCACATTCCCTTACCCACCTTCCTCTATGGCATTTGATTCAGTTGATACCAGCGCTCCCCCCGTACCTGACCTTCTCTCCCCGACTCGGCAAAGCATGGACCGGCATGATTCAATGACATCGCGACTAACTTCCACTCCCTCTGTTACTCGCGCTATGTTCCTCGCTCAACACGAAGTTCTAGAACTTCTAGGGCTTTCCACCGCAGATCTTGACGATCTTGGAAGACATGATAAAGGGAAGACTCGATCGTGGTCTGCTTCGCAGTTGACAGATCTCCCTCTAACAACCTCATCACGACGGTCTTCAGCCCACCTCCCTTACAGTCCTCGATATTTTTAAACTTCAACACTTCAAATCACCGCACACGTTAATTGTGCGCATGCCTTCGTCCTGTCTTTTGCATACTCTCATACACATTCTGTTTTAATTCACATTAGCAAGTAATCACTGAATATGATCATACATGAATATCCGGCGCGCTGCCGCATAAGTTAGCGATTAAATCATCAGATACAGTGGTACACATAAGATCGCCGAAACAATTGTTGCGGAATGAGTGCTGCACATATAAGAATGCCATATCAATTCTTGTCATGTCACCTCCGAGCCCTTTTCCTTGCGGACTTGAAATCTGCCACACTTGCTTGGCTTGCCTGTGACAACGGCTTTTGTGAGGAATTTTGTTGTCGCTCGATGAGTGCTGAGATCGCCTCAGCATCTCCACTGTCCGAGACATCATCTCGATCGTAATCAGGTGTTCGTTTTCGTTTCCTGGCTGGAGTTTCTGCTGAGGAGATCCGCACTGGCGATCGTGAGGGTGATGAAGAGGGTGGAGGCCTCATCCGCGGTCGTGGCCGAGCGCCTAGTTGATCAGTGCTCTTGGATGTTACTTCAGGATCAGTCTCGCCATCTCCGAGGATATCTCTGGATTGCGGATCTTTTTCCAGATTCATGGGTGGTCTGGGGGGCAATGAATCGCCATGGTTCCCCGTCAGTGATTCATCATCAGTGACGCCTTCGCCTGATCTCGCAGATGCCTTGGAAGCAGCTGCTCTGCCCTTTGCGACAATACCTGATATAGCAAAAGAGGTTCAGGGGTATTGCACCGCTGGAGCACAGCCACGCACTCTTGTCCTTGGACATTGCTGATATGAGGCGTTTCTCATATAGGCGAGCAGCGTCCCAACCCCTGGAAGTTGGAGGGATTTCCAGGCTAGAGGCTTCCAAAGTCTTATCCAGGTGGGATTTACTGTTTTGGGGGATAGTGGGAATCAGCAGCAAATTGTGGATTGGAATCGGAAGGCACACATTTTTGAAGCTTCTCGGCTCCCGACACTTGTTAGCAAAGCATGCAAGACTCGGAAGAATTCAATGCACTGCATTTTTTTTGTTCGGTTGCCGCTTGACTCATATGCTGCGATTCTTTTGATAATCCACGTTAAGCCAGCTGAATGTATTTCCACTACATGGGGAGCATCGAGTCGACGCGTGATGGACAAGTGAGCGCCTCGTACGACAAATACGGGTCCAAATGCTTTGGCAAGGCCAATGCATGCCTGAGAATCTGTTTGACCGTCCATAAACATTGTGAAAGACTGAAATAGACGTGAGTGGGACCGAGGGATGACATGTGATTATTGCCCACCTGACGCAGAGCCTCATTCACTATTGTGGCCACCAGTTCACCGTTATTTTTGAACATGCCCTCTTCCCTCAAAACCGAAACCAAAGTGGAGAGACAATGATCAAACTGGCTCCCGAGGAGACCGTGGTATGCGAGCAATGTCGATGAGTGGCGTGGGCTCATGACTCCAGCAGCGATGGCACGAAGGAAATAATTGGCAACCGAAATGAAGTCATGCTCACTCTCAAGTTTTAAGCGGCTGAGGGGTTGCTCGTGTTTGCTCGCTTTGGAGGCCTTCTCACCACGCTTTTGATTGCTCGACTGTCCGTTTTCGCTCTCGCTGCCTGATTCATCGCTGCCACCAACGCCGTTCTCATGAGTCACAGGGCCACGAGATTCAATAATATCTTCGTGGAATCGTTCTGCCTCTGCTTGCATAAAACCAGCGCACTGGTATTGCAACCTGTCATCCATCTTGATGGCCAGTGACGCATGGACTTGATCAGATGGGAAAAGAATATGGAGGACGACGAAGTTTTGAAATGCCTGACGTACAGTCAGCCAACCTGATGTCGCGTCCCCGTGTAGCAATCTTACCGTCCGCTTCACCGCTTCGCTCGCGTTTGAATTGTTACCACCGATATAATCTTGCAGGAGGCGCAGAAGGGCGTTCCTTCTTTCCAGGTCGGGTTCGCCGAAAGAGGAACCCTCTTGCGACGAAGATGACTCCGGACGCTGCTTATTCACTTTCCATGTGACATATTGTGTCAAAATATTAAAGCAATTTTGGACCAGCTGCAGGGAATTAATCAGTTGTCTCAGACACCTGGTGAAAAACAACCTACAGTATCCTCTTCCTTATGACCAAGACGTCCACGTTCCGCTAGGGCCAAGATGATATCCCAAGATGATGATTGTTTGCCATTGTCGTCATCTTCAACCCAAGAGGACATGTCTCGTCTGGCGGAAAGCAGCTGAATTCGCAGCGTAATCGCCGCAAGGGACACTACTTCGTCTTCGTGGAAACTGCTAGCCTCTATTTCTTCTCGACCCGAGACGACGGCCCTCAGTGATGATGAAAGTTCATCGTCGAGCTCAACGAGTTTTGTCGAGTTGGTAGCGGAGAGGGCAGTCGCTTGGAGAAGGTGCATCATTGTAAGAATTGCGCTGGACACAACTGCTGGCGATGATTGGGTCAAGATTTGCTTGGATATGTCATCCCACAGGCCCTCAAATGCCTGCTCGGTATGAGGTAAGAAATAGATACGATTGACCCACGTCACTCACCGTAAGCATTCTCATTTCCAAATACAAATTAGCGTTGAGTAGCCTGGGAATGGTAAGAATGTCAATCATCCGAAAATCGTCTGTCTGGTGTTTTGAGAATAGTTGCGGAAGTGCTTTCATCAAAACGCGAGTAAGGTCATTCCGGACAATGTCGGCATCCGACTACAGGGAGAGTGAGGGGATGTTCCAAGAGTAGTGGCAGAAAGCACTCACTGTCTTTTTGCTTACAGAGTCTGCAAGAGTTTTTTGCAACGACGCCAGTAGGACATTCAACAGAGCAGTCTCTTCGGTTTCTTCTAGCCTCCATGCTTCGTCGGCAATATCTTCATCGTCCTCACCTTTCCGTTTCTTACGAGGAGAGGCCTGTGACTTCTTTCGGAGTTTCGACGCTGATGCAACGACACTTTCGGCAGTAACATTGCCGGAATGGTCCAGTAACAAGAGCTGAAGAATAGCTTCCCAGTTTGGGATAACATCAATTTGGTCCCAGAGCGCTTCTATCGCAAGGGCGACACGACTTTTTTGCTCCGCAGCGAGAACCATGATATCAAACGAACTAGGCTCCTTGGAAGTGACTCTCGTCCCCGAACCATCCTCAGACTGAAGCGGCACCCCGGATTTCGCAAGAACGTTCTCCCAATTTACAAGTAACAAAGCGAGCGCTTTTGCTCCTGCAAAGCTGCGCTCGCGGTCATCATGCGCATTTCGCTTCACTAAACGTTGTGCAACGGTCTCATCCCATACTCTCCGGACGAACGCGCTGATCGCTTTACGGACGCGAGGTTCTTGGTCAAAAATAAGGAGACAAAGCAATGCGCGTTGGTCATCGTCCAGCAGGGCGTTCTTGTCAATGGCCTCCAATACTTGAATCACAGCGACACGAACGGAAAGTTCCGTATCATGTTTAGCCATTGCCACCAATCGGGATTTGAAGCGTTCAGTGAAATGCTGTAGAGTAATAAGGTAATCCTCCTTTTGGTACAAAGCAAGTAGCGATTTGACTGCTTCGAGGCGCACGTTGGTATTCTAGCGAGCTGTTACATAGAAGTGCAAGGCGAAGAAAAGTGATCGCACTTACGGCATCGGACAGGACCCATCCCACATATCGCAGATAGTTGCCTTCTAAGAAGTATCCAGGATGTCTTTTGAGCCAAACACCCATTTCTCTAACACAGTCCGCTCGGATGCCTGCGTCAGAATCGCGGTATCGATGAACAAAAACTCTTGAAAAGAGAATGAGAAGACAAACAATGGGTGATAGGTCAACTTTCGTACCCATCGAAGAACTCCTTGAGAAACTCGTTCATCTTCGTCCGCTTCTCTTTGATCCCTGCAGCCTTCGTCCGCAACGCATTCTCCCTTTCACTTGGCTTGCTGGAACCCTTGCGACGCTTCCGTTCGCCTTCTCGTTGCCTATTAATCATCTCTGCCTCTTTCTCGATCACTGCTGCCACCGATGAAAGTGCACTTTCCAATTCTAATGCTACCACTGTTGCGGTATGACGAAAACTCCTCAGCTGGGCAGATGACATCGCAATGACCCAAATCTGAAGAGTAGGGACCAATTCCGTCGAGAAGAGCATATCATTCTCAGATGATGAGGCTATTAGTCGATCCAAGAACTCGGAGATGGACTTCCTCAGCTTGCGAAAAACTGGGGCTTTAGATGATAAAGGGTATTGTTGTGATTCAGCCTGCTGGGCGCATGAGTGTTCGTTGTATCAGAAGCATGGTAACGGGAACCCTGATATCTTACCTCCTTGACTTCTTCGACAAGATCGCCCAGAAAATCCACTACACCATCACTGTCAACGACGACATGTGAGTCGACGGTAGAATTACAGCCACACAGTCGCAGGATGCAAGTTATCAACTCCGCTAATGCAGCGTCAGCATTGGCCTCTAGTGAATCGAGGAAGTCTTGGACGGTGGATTGGAGTGCGGCAGCTGGGTTCAGCAGCGAATCTAAGTTGACCCCGAATGAGTCATGAAAGTGACAAGAAAAATGATCGTGAAACGAACTAAAGAATGAGTTATCATCATTTATCGACGCGTCTTTCACGCTGTGGCTCTTTCCCGCAGCTTTGGTTCGCATAGTTTTGGGGATTGCAGGCGCAGAACGCGCCTTTCTGGGTGCCGACCGCGGTGCACGTTTCGGCTTCGTCATGGATCCCCGCAACTGCGTAGGACGAGGGTCAGCATACTCAGGCTCCTCATCATCCCCCTCCCCTTCCCCTTCGGTATCGAGATCATGCTCTAATCCATCGTCCTCAAAGTCATCTTCCTCGTCGGGATTAATCCCAGGTTTTGAAAGGGAGGGTGAGGCTGTGTGGAAAGTTAAGGTCATGGGCCTTGCCTAAATGCCTTCATACATACCTTTGACATATTCCTGCGTTTGTTTGCGTTCTCTGGTCGACCGCCGCAAGCTGTTCGTCGTTGACATCGTGGACGGCGGGATGAGCGGCATTCGCCGGCACAATATCTGCCACGGATGCAACAATATTGCGAGACACAGCCATTATTGCATTCGTGTCCTTTCATTGTCTTAGGTTCGGTTGTGCTGGCTCCAATCGAGGCCTTGGGGTCTTCATGTGCCCCTGATGCATCCCCATACCTACTTGCTTCTCGTATTTTCTCTTGTCTTCGCATGCAGTCTAGCTTCATTTCACGACTCTCAACTGATCAGGCGGGGCAGCTTGGTACCACCCCACACCGAAGCAGAAGAGCTTCAGTTGGGAGATGTTGTCCTGGCGGCATCCGTTGATGGAAATTTTCATGCCTTTGACCGGATAAATGGGCGGCTGAAATGGTCGATGCAGACCCTCCCTTCAGGTCCAGCAAATCAGTCGTTGCTCTATCCCCTCGTCCACTCTGAGCAGCCGTCTCTCCACGATATTCATGATGATGGTTTCCACCTTCACGAGACATTCGTTATTGAACCCCAGTCTGGAGAGATCTTCATCCTTCCTCCAGGAGGGTTGGCCCACACACCTCTGGAACGCCTCCCGTATACTATCATGCAACTTGTGGATCTTTCTCCTTTCCAATTTCCTGGGGACGACCAGAGAATGTTTCTTGGGAGAAAAGAGACCAGCATGATAACACTGGATTTGAACTCCGGGAAAGTTTTATCTGTATACAAAGACGATCAGTGCATTCGGGAGGAAGCAGGAGGAAGCGAACTCGGAGGACATGACGAAAACTCACTCCATAATTTTGAAGACGGTGGTTCAGAGCACAGTCGGACTAAGTCACCACCGCCAAAGCCAATCCGCATCGGGAGAACTGATTATCATGTGTCAATCCGCATCAAAGGTCAAGGCATTGTTCAGCGTTTGTCCTTTTCCGCGTATGGCCCTAACAATGTAGACAAAGAACTTCAAACACAGTGGGTTAAGACCCCGGATGATCGCTACGTCCAGTCTCTCCCTAGTGGCGATATAATATCGTTCAGCCTTTCAGACGCGGGATCTCTAAATCCTGGCACATCAGGGATGGGATCTAAAAGTGGCCTGGTAGCGTGGCATGGGGAGCTTCCCAAACCGGTGTATGTGATTTTTGGCTACCAAGACACTGCAGTCTGATTCGCCCTTTAGAGTTGCCGTTTTCGACGTGCTGACCAGCCCATCTCGCGACAACCCGTTTGTATTGATACAACCTCAACCAAAGCTTATAGACATATTCCAAGACCCCCGTCATCGTGCCCAGATTGCTGAACTCCCCGAAAGTACTTTCGTTGGACTTGTTGGTGATTCACTCTATGCGATGAGCCACTTGAAGTTTCCCATGGTTGTCTTTTCTGACGCCTTGCCTTATCATTTTGACCGCTCGAGCGACGGATCTACTGAACTTGTGGCGTCGTCGAGGCTGGATCATAATGGCCATTGCAGAAATGCTGAATGTTATCTTGGAACTCATCCATCCCGATTTGCTGCCTCTTCCCGCATATCTAGGCTGATTGAGGAAAGCGAGCAGCTGCAACAGATCGATGCCTCACCTCCCAACGCGACCGCGCCCACCCCTGCTAACTATGCGCCGTTACCTATCCCTTCCACCATCATAAGCATTCTAGCGCCTTTTAATATCATCTGGATTGGGACCTCGGTTTTCACCCTATGCTGCATCGTCGGGTACACCCTGTTGCTCCGTAAGTGGGGAATTGGGACAAACGAGAAGGTCATATCAACGGATTCCGTTGCCGCCCTTGACAGAGCCCCTTTGCCAGGCGGTGCGCATGATGGCACTGAACTGAAGGGCGAAATGGACTCTCCACCCAAAAATCCGACGTCTCCGGCGCCTCCTACGGCAGTGGGTCGCTCTGGGACGGGCGAAGATGCACAGGCTGAGTCAGGAGGCAATGTGGACAAGGAAGAACGACGGACGCGGCGCAGGCCGAGAGGAAAACATAAGGGAAAAGGGAAGAAAGGAGAAGAGGACGTTGGCAAGGAAGAGCTTGATGGTTCAGATACCCCCCTCCGGCCGAAAGAGGGTGTCCCGCAACGCCAGCAGCAACAGGACATTGAGAACACAGTTGATGACGCTTCAATTGACGGGAATCCAAACCTAGCATTAACTGTGTCAGATAACATTCTCGGTAGATCTTCCACCTCGTGCTCTTTGATTATTCATTTACTCACAGCTTGCCAGGCTATGGCTCTCACGGGACTGTTGTGTATCAAGGATCCTTCCAAGGCCGTGCAGTCGCTGTGAAGCGACTGCTGCAAGACTTCGTCAAAGTAGCGTCCCGAGAAGTCGCACTCTTACAGGAGTCCGATGACCATCCCAATGTCATCAGATACTATTATCAAGAGACCAGAGACAATTTTGTGTATATTGCTCTTGAACTGTGCCCCGCTTCGCTCGAGGATGTGATTCAACGTCCAGTCGCTTTTGGAGAGATCAATGCAACCTTTGTCCCTAAACGCACCATCTCACAAATCACGGCGGGATTGCAGCATCTTCATTCCCTCAAGATTGTTCACCGCGATATCAAGCCTCAAAATATCCTCTTCTCCCAAGCCAAAAATGGCCAACATCGTATGCTCATATCTGATTTTGGACTCTGCAAGAAGCTCGAGTTGGATGAGACCAGTTTTGTGCCGACTCGTCATGGGCATCTTGGTGCGGGTTCCATAGGATGGCGGGCGCCGGAGATCTTAAGGGGAGAAGTTAATCTCGACGTAACCATCGTTGATTCATTGGGCGGCCCAGATTGTGATTCCAATACTGGAAGTATGGGTAGTGTTGGTCCGAGCGGGGTACCTGGACATGGTAATGGCGCTCGCACACGTTTAACGAAATCAGTGGATCTCTTCGCACTTGGGTGTTTGTTTTATTACACATTGACAAACGGCGAACATCCCTTTGGAGGACCATTCGAGCGTGAGGCAAATATACTGAAAGATGCGATAGATCTTAGTTGGCTGGAACGCTTTGGCGAGGAGGGTATAGAGGCGAAGGACTTGATAAATAAGATGCTTGATGCACGGCCGCGTCGACGGTAAGAGGGTCAGCATGATACTGGCGTACTGATGCTAACCGCTCTAAAGGCCAGACACGGCTCAGTGTCTTGTCCACCCCTTCTTCTGGACGCCTGGACGACGGCTCACATTCTTGCAAGATGCCTCGGATAGGTTCGAGATCATGCAGCGCGATCCTCCCGAGCTCGGCCTCCAGCGGCTTGAGGCTGGTGCTCCGGACGTTGTGGGAAATGACTGGAGCAAGAAGTTTGACAAAGGCTTTATCGAAAACTTGGGGAAATTTCGTAAGTATAACGGACGGTCCATCCTAGATCTGTTACGTGCACTCCGCAACAAAGTATGTTCTTTCTGCCTTCCTTTCTGTGCGTTGAATCTCATTTTACTACACAGAAACATCATTATCAGGACCTTCCAGAAAACTTGAAGCGTCACCTTGGTTCACTCCCTGATGGCTTCTTGGCATACTTCACACGCCGATTCCCTGCGCTCTTTCTCCACGTTTATTATGTCATAGCTGATGGTCCATGGCAGGAAGAGTCCATATTTCGACCGTACTTCCAAGAGCCTTAACCTGCGAGATCTTCCATTCATCTTCAAATCGTACCTTACATGTATTAATTAGTGTAGATTTATTTTGTATTTTACTTGTTCGTTCGCCCTTTGGAAGATTCGTGATGGATGGAATGCACACGGCACCAGAGTGGTTGCGTAGTGTAAAACGGGGACAATTATCTGCATTGAATTGTGAGCGACACTTAGATTGACACGCGCTGTCGATCATGCGAGATGTGACAATCGATTGCGCAATTGGGATCCAACGGGATCAAATGAGACTTAGGTTCGTAGCCTTTAATGAACACTAGTAAGTACGCAGAGCAGTCAGCCTCTGCATCCATTCGCTGCGTCACACGATACTCGGCGCGACTGCACACTTTTCCGGACATTAATTGGTCCTAGTGCAATCCTAATGATCGATCATCATTACAGTATTCCGGCGTTGCTGCACCCTGAGGCATGGTAACATACATGTCTCTCTTCCGGATATCAGGTGGTAGGCTGCGGTGGCTTTTCCCTTTAGCTTCGTCGGGGTCAGGAGAAGATGGGTACCCTTAACGTATTGTTATTTGTCCGGGCAGTTTGAATTCTGGGCGGGTCAGATTTTTTAGATAGACTCCGTCCAGGGCTATATAGTTTCTAAAGTATCTATCTCCACATACCCGAACTGCCAAACTGATGTTTGGATCATCAGTAGCAGAAGTTGATGCTCGGCAACTCTATATGGTTACATCACCTTTGTGGTTGGAAGTTATTCTATCTCCGTAATGCATTCTAACGCTCCATCTTCGACGTGCGTGACGTTCTCATCTGCCCACTTCCATCTCTCCTTCATAGCGTCCTCCACCCCCAAAAATGACGAAACTAGTCACAATGATCAATGAGCCAAATATGACCTGCCCTCCTGCATTGACCCCAGTGAAAGTAAAATCCCCGAGCAAGGCAAACGGCCCCGTAAGACTTGATCCGATAGTAACAATTAGCGGAGTCGTCTTCAGCAAGGCTATCACGTAGAGAAAGCTGGCTAATACGCTAAGGATGGTCTAAGAATGGAACGGATGGGCATAAGCATCGCGTCGTACGCGCCATTGAAACGTGAAACTCTTATCACATTTGTAAGAATGGCACACCATTGTCGCCCCGTCTCTGGAAGTGCGAAAGCCTCCAAACCCGTCAAATGAAGCATGATGCCCAAAATCCACAGGGTCGCGAGATTGTAGATACCGACGTATCCGAAGAACAATCTTGTGTTGATGCGAGACTCGTCACCAACCCGGGCCTTGAGCAGAGTCACGCAGAGTGCAGAAAAGACTGCCGACCAGAATGCTAGGAAATCCCCCAAGATGGGGTTGCGCCGCTAGGGACTGTGGGCGAGGATAAGATAGTGATTGCAGTTGGTGAAGGCGAGGTCTCAGAGTCGGATAGGGAGACCAGCGTAACTCCTACAAAGCTTCGGAGATGTCAGCGAGATGGGACACAAAAAAATCCGCGGTTATTATGGACTCACCAGGCAATTACTGCACCGAGTCGAGTGAAGGAAAAAGTCTCCACATTGAAGATCCGTCCAACGATTAAGGTAACGAGTCCTGTCGGTGGGGAAATCGGATTGCGAATCCCTTCAATCAATTGCTTTCCGAGAGACGGGTAAAGAACCAACCGCTTGTTGAAGTAAGGATAGAGCAACTGGCGACTGAAGTGAATTGCAACGAGGAATTGAAGGTCCAGCATGCTAGGAACCATATAATACAGTAAACCTTTGCGAGATCAGCCGTCTCCTGACGAGAAAGCTGAGGTGGTGATTTTGGACTGGGAAGGAGCTGTTCGTCTGTCGGAAGAGGCTGGTACTCATTTGGCGCCGAGGTCCTGGCAGTTGGGATTAGTTCATCAAGATGGCTTACGTAATATATTGTGGAGTCCCACTCACGACCCCTCTCAAAGAGCAGGGGAATCAGATAGACCGAGAATCCCGAGATACTTAAGTACGTTAAACTGCGCAAACATTGAATTCAGTCACGCAGTCAAAATATAAAATGTTGGAGAAACACCAACAAGAAAGGTTTCTGGAAGCCATCATCGAGTACATCCTGTGGTTACAAAGGGGGCACAATGAGTTCACTCAGAAGCGGAAGGCGCAAGGCGCAGATTTGTGTACCACCTGCGTGATAAAATATGAAGCTACCCATAGGAGTACGACCGCTAGCAAGATAAGGATACCTTGAAGGTATCTAGAGGACTAGTCCGCTGGGATTATAGGAATGGCTTCGTTGTGTGCATCCAGGTAGGGATCGACCTGTGCTAGTAGATGGCAGCTGGGATGGATGACATCCATAGCAACCGATGGCTGAAGAACCCCGGCATACTCCGACAGGGGTTCATTCGGAAGCCTTCCACTTTGGCCCTCAAATTTTGGGTTTCCTAGACCCATTTAGCCTCCTGAAAGGTTGAGCCTTGCGAGCGTCGTAAGATTGACCGGGCATACATATTCTTTTTCGGCCCCAGCGGCGTGAAGCGCCGCCACAATGGTATCTGCTTTAGTAGAGGCTGGGATCCTGCTCTAACAAGGATACTCAGACCCAAAAGACATGTTGATTTACCTTGGTCCGCGTACCCCCCCCAAGCCCACCTGAAACTTCTAATTGCATCCATTCGTGACATGGCACGTCGGGCCTAGTTTCGACTTCTAGGCCTACCAGTTGCTGCCGGTGACTGGTCTTCTGCCACAGTGGTACTTCGGGTGGACATCCTCTTCGCAGCGGCGCGGGTCCGCTCTGCTTTGGAGGCGCCGACCTATCCTCATGCCATGACACCGCGCCTTGATCGCATAGGCAAGATATAACAATGGGTTTATGGAACGAGCTGGTAGATGTTCCGAAGCGTGTAGCAAACGCCGGGGAAAAGATGTGAGTACTAGGACCGGGGGCACTGTGTAGACCAAATGCCCCCCGGAGCTCCCCCAAACAGCTATGAGGTCAAAGTAAACGCACAGAACATTTCCTTGCGATTTCTCCTTTGAAATAGCTTCTTAAATAGAAGATCCTCTGTGAATACGCAAAACTGCGTCCGCCCTGTTTGACAATCAGTACGCAAGACGCATTGTCCCGATGGGTAGCACAGAATTCTCATTTTCAGTCTAAATTGGTAAAAATCCATCCACACTCCTTAAAAATCACCATCGACATGGAGTTCGTTAAAGCAAGAGAGTTTCGCATGCGAGAGAAAACAAGAAAGAGCAGAAATATGAGACTCCAGAGACAGCAAGCTACCGCCCTCATGCGCCGTACTACAAGTACATCAAAAATTACGTCAGACACGACTGAAAAGCCCTTCGACAAGTTGCAGCTTACAGTAAGGGTGAGCCCCGTAGCCCAAGGACTGGGCTGATGACCGATTTCGGGATCAAGGTAGGACCATCGATCAGCCGCCTCCGTCGGATCGCCGGGAGTAAGCTTGTACTCGTTCACAGTCTCATACCAATCAGTATCGACGAGCTCGCCGTCCTCATCGACTTTCTGGTAACGAACAAGTTTTTGATTTTTGATCGAAACCTTGTCGTCGACAGTGATAACAGGCTCACGGTATCTACAAAAATCGGGCAACCACTTAGCACCTCGTAGTACAAGTGCACAACAGGAGATCAACTCACCGTCGAAGAGTACCGGCCACGCCCTTCGTACGTGAAAATGGGTTTAGAGAACACAGCGCGAAGAACCTCCGCAGCCACGCGGGTGACAAACGCTGGACCCAAGCTCTTGAAAACGTATCACCATGATATGAGCATAATCCGAAAGAGGACGTTGAGGCTCGACGTCCTCAGGGCTGATGTTCTCAGGGTTGCTAAACGCCGATTCGTCTTTTCCGACCTTGCCGAAGTCGAAGTACAGCCTATCCCCCGCCTTGCTGGCGAGAGGGCCAACAGGAATGTCCTTTGTAACGACGCGAGACACCTTCGATGACGGGATCCAAACCTTTCAGCGGAAAGCGATAATCAGTGAGTTCTCCATATTCTGCGGTTTCAACACGGAGTCAACCTACGGAGAGCTTCACGAACGTAACCCTCAAGAGTAGCGAGTACCAAAGGATCAGATCCCTTGCTAGCAAGGAGGACAATCTTTTCATAAAGATCTTGCTTCGAAGCATAATCGGCGGCATTCTTGTCCACAGGAGGGAGGTAGAAGTTAATGACATGCGTGAAGACTAAGCACCACAAACAAGAGTAAATTGAGGGACCAATGCCAATAGAAGACAATGACAACACTCACTCTGCGAGAGTTCGATAGATGCGGAGGAGATGACGCCAATGATATCGTTGGCAACCTCATCAAGAGGAGCACCCAAACCAAGAAGACGTTTGAGAACACGATTAGTAAATTGAGGTACATCGCCAAGGAACCACCCGGCAAGACCGTTGATAAGAGAGACAGGAAGCTGTTGATCCCAGAATCAGTGGACCTCGCTTCGTTTCCGTTCCATGAATCATGAAGGAAAAACACTCACACTGCCCTTGGCCTCCACCAAGCTAAGCTTAACGAATCGGCGGAGACGAACTACATTGGCCCTCGCCTCCCTCTGAGCCGGAATCTCCAAAGTGGCATCACCCTCGATGAAA